CTATATATATATATATATATATAAAATACTTAAATATTTTTTTACATACATATTTTAATATAAATATAATAAATTAAAATGTATATTTAATTAATAATAATTATAAATTATAAACTTATAAATATTTATTTATATATAAAAAATACATAATCAAATTAATTTATTATAAACATGTAGTAATTGATATAATTTATTTATTTATTAATGTTATCTAAGTGGGAGATTGTTGTATTTTATCTTATTTTATTATATAAAATTATTATTCTCTATTTTGTTATTATTGTGGATTAACATTAATTAATAAATTAATTATTTATAATTATCAATTATATTGCATAATTGTTATTAATTTATGGATAATACATATTGAGTTTCTAATGAATGGTCTCGTGATGGATTGGATTGTTCAATGAACAGGTCCGTGATACTTGTTCAATAACCTGTTGAGAGGTCCCTGGTCTCTGCTAGTAAAGATATAAAATTGATATCCTGTTAGTTAGTTTTAATATATAGAAAAATAATACTTTATATAAGTGCGTTCGTTCCGTTATATTGAGCACTCGGTATTTGGTAGGGATGACAATTAAACTCGTACCCGTGGGGACCAACCCATCCCAGCCCGAGTTTGACTGGGAAAACCCGAGTTGACCGACCAGCTTTAAAAAGTCGGGGGTGGGGGGCGGGGATGGGTAATGCAATTCCGACCCAGTCCCGCCACGACTTTATATTTAAATTTAAAATTTAAAATATTAATATTTTAATAGTATTTTCTTTTCTTTTTCTATTACATATAAGGTTATTTTTTTAATATTTCACCAATTTTTATTTTTCTTCTACCCACTCTTAATTTTTTTGTCTTTTTTAATCTTTTATATCAATTAATTTATTACATTATTCTTTCTCTTACCTTTTTCGTTTTTTACATTTTCTTAATTTCTCCCATCAATTTTTTTTTATCTTTTCAATCAATTTGATTAACACAAAGTAATTTTTTTTTCTTTATCTTTTTTTTAATATTTTACATAAACCATAATAGTAACTAATATTATTTTATTTATAATTTATATTTATTAGGTTTTATTATGTCATAGTTTTTGATCTTATTATTCTTATTTATCATATATCAAATTTTATATTAATAAAATAATTATATTTTAAAGGATTAAAAGAAATTGATAATTTAAACTTTTATTACTTTAAAATAATGAAATAAAAATTAACTTATTAAATATTTTCTTATAAATTATATATTTCATATTTTTAAATGACAACTTAAAAATGAATTAACTTATATATATAATTAATGTTTGAATACAGTATTATAATAATAATAATGTTATAAGTATTCAAATATTTGAATAGTATAATAATAATAATAATGTTATAAATATTCTATATATATATAATAATAATAATTAAATATTTTTTTACATACATATTTTAATATAAATATAATAAATTAAAATGTATATTTAATTAATAATAATTATAAATTATAAAATTATAAATATTTATTTATATATAAAAAATACATAATCAAATTAATTTATTATAAATATGTAGTAATTGATATAATTTATTTATTTATTAATGTTATCTAAGTGGGAGATTGTTGTATTTTATCTTATTTTATTATATAAAATTATTATTCTCTATTTTGTTATTATTGTGGATTAACATTAATTAATACATTAATTATTTATAATTATCAATTATATTGCATAATTGTTATTAATTTATGGATAATACATATTGAGTTTCTAATGAATGGTCTCGTGATGGATTGGATTGTTCAATCAACGAGTGCTGTGATACTTGTTCAATAACTCTGTTGAGAGGTCCCTAGTCTCTGCTGGTAAAGATATAAAATTGATATCCTGTTAATTAGTTTTAATATATAGAAAAATAATACTTTTATATAAGTGCGTTCGTTCTGTTATATTGAGCACTCAGTATTTGGTAGGATGACAATTAAACCCGTACCGTGGGGACCAACCCATCCCCGCCCGAGTTGACCAGGGGCGGCAGGGATGGGTAATGCAATTCCGACCCCGTCCCGCCACGACTTTATATTTAAATTTAAAATTTAAAATATTAATATTTTAAATGTATTTTCTTTTCTTTTTCTATTACATATAAGGTTATTTTTTTAATATTTCACCAATTTTTATTTTTCTTCTACCCACTTTTAATTTTTTTGTCTTTTTTAATCTTTTATATCAATTAATTTATTACATTATTCTCTCTCTTACCTTTTTCGTTTTTTACATTTTCTTAATTTCTCCCATCAATTTTTTTTATCTTTTCAATCAATTTGATTAACACAAAGTAATTTATTTTCTTTATCTTTTTTTTTAATATTTTACATAAATCATAATAGTAACTAATATTATTTTATTTATAATTTATATTTATTAGGTTTTATTATGTCATAGTTTTTTATCTTATTATTCTTATTTATCATATATCAAATTTTATCTTAATAAAATAATTATATTTTAAATGATTAAAAGAAATTGATAATTTAAACTTTTATTACTTTAAAATAATGAAATAAAAATTAACTTATTAAATATTTTCTTATAAATTATATATTTCATATTTTTAAATGACAACTTAAAAATGAATTAACTTATATATATAATTAAATGTTTGAATACAATATTATAATAATAATAATAATGTTCTAAGTATTCAAATATTTGAATAGTATAATAATAATAATGTTATAAATATTCTATATATATATATATATAAAATAATTAAATATTTTTTTACATACATATTTTAATATAAATATAATAAATTAAAATGTATATTTAATTAATAATAATTATAAATTATAAAATTATAAATATTTATTTATATATAAAAAATACATAATCAAATTAATTTATTATAAATATGTAGTGATTGATATAATTTATTTATTTATTAATGTTATCTAAGTGGGAGATTGTTGTATTTTATCTTATTTTATTATATAAAATTATTATTCTCTATTTTGTTATTATTGTGGATTAACATTAATTAATAAATTAATTATTTATAATTATCAATTATATTGCATAATTGTTATTAATTTATGGATAATACATATTGAGTTTCTAATGAATGGTCTCGTGATGGATTGGATTGTTCAATGAACGGTTCGTGATACTTGTTCAATAACCCGTTGAGAGGTCCCTGGTCTCTGCTGGTAAAGATATAAAACTGATATCCTGTTAATTAGTTTTAATATATAGAAAAATAATACTTTTATATAAGTGCGTTCGTTCCGTTATATTGAGCACTCGGTATTTGGTAGGGATGACAATTAAACCCGTACCCGTGGGGACCAACCCATCCCCGCCCGAGTTTGACGAGGAAAACCCGAGTTGACCGGGGCGAGGCGGGTTCGGGTTTTCCCCACTTTAAAAAGTCGGGGGCGGGGGCGGGGATGGGTAATGCAATTCCGACCCCGTCCTCGCCACGACTTTATATTTAAATTTAAAATATTATTATTTTAAATGTATTTTCTTTTCTTTTTCTATTACATATAAGGTTATTTTTTTAATATTTCACCAATTTTTATTTTTCTTCTACCCACTCTTAATTTTTTTATCTTTTTTAATCTTTTATATCAATTAATTTATTACATTATTTTTTCTCTAACCTTTTTGTTTTTTACATTTTCTTAATTTCTCCCATCAATTTTGTTTTTATCTTTTCAATTAATTTGATTAACACAAAGTAAATTTTTTTCTTTATCTTTTTTTTTAATATTTTACATAAATCATAATAGTAACTAATATTATTTTATTTATAATTTATATTTATTAGGTTTTATTATGTCATAGTTTTTTATCTTATTATTCTTATTTATCATATATCAAATTTTATCTTAATAAAATAATTATATTTTAAAGGATTAAAAGAAATTGATAATTTAAACTTTTATTACTTTAAAATAATTAAATAAAAATTAACTTATTAAATATTTTCTTATAAATTATATATTTCATATTTTTAAATGATAACTTAAAAATGAATTAACTTATATATATAATTAAATGTTTGAATACAGTATTATAATAATAATAATATGTTATAAGTATTCAAATATTTGAATAGTATAATAATAATAATGTTATAAATATTCTATATATATATATAAAATAATTAAATATTTTTTTACATACATATTTTAATATAAATATAATAAATTAAAATGTATATTTAATTAATAATAATTATAAATTATAAAATTATAAATATTTATTTATATATAAAAAATACATAATCAAATTAATTTATTATAAATGTAATTATCTTTTTAAAAATAATATAGATCGGGGACTGGCAGGGCGGGGCGGGAACTCGAAATCCAACTGGGACGGGGATGAAGACTTAATTTTTAACCCTAACGGGGATCGGGGCTGGGACTGGGATGGTTAAAAAGTCGGGGCGAGGATCGGGAGGCAAAACCCGCCCTTGCCCTGCCCCGTTAATGACAACTTAAAAATGAATTAACTTATATATATAATTAAATGTTTGAATACAGTATTATAATAATAATAATAATGTTTTAAGTATTCAAATATTTGAATAGTATACTAATAATAATGTTATAAATATTCTATATATATATATATATATAAAATAATTAAATATTTTTTTACATACACTACGAGGAAGAGAGCAATATTCTCTCACTCAATCTTTCATCTACTTTCCCAATGATCAAGGTAAGCTTCCACATTTTGTTATTATTGGTTATCGGAAACTGCTCAATAATTATTGGGGATAATTGATTGTATGATAGTGTTTGATGTTCTTTCAATTGGTATATTTTGATTTATAATCTAACAATATGTTGTTAGTAACATCAAAAGTAAAAAGTTTCAAGTTGTCCCTCAAGGTTCTTCTCCATCGTCTGTTTTTTCACATGTTTGCAATGATTCACCTTGTAGAGATTTACATGAGTTGAATCTATGAATCCGCTGGTTGATTATAAGAATATGATCAAAGCTCCAACTCATAAATTCATTGTTAGCAATTATAAAATCACAAGGTTTCATCATGCTCTTCCTAAAGGACATGTTCCACCTTCTGGACCATCGCACGGTTGCAGTGTACCACCTTGTGGAAATCTACATAGTCTAAATCCACCAACTGAGGCGAATAATATGTTTAGAGATTGTGTTTACAGATATGTTGTTAGCAACATAAAAAACAAAAAAAAATCATGTTGCCCCTCAAGGTTCTTCTCCATCATCTGCTTCTTCAAATGGCTGCAGTGATCCACCTGGTAGAGATTTACATGAGTTCCACTGGTTGATTCTAAGAATATGATCAAAGCTCCAACTCATAAATTCATTATTAACAACGATAAAAGCACAAGGTTTTATGTTCTTCCTAAAGGACTTGTTCCACCTTCTCGACCATCGCATGATTGCAGTACACCACCTTGTTGAGATCCACATAGCTTAAATCCACCAACTGAAGCGAATAATGTGTTCAAAGATCGTGTTCGCAGGTATGTTGTTAGCAATATAAAAAATAAAAAGTTTTATGTTCTTCCCAATCCATCTTCCGGAGCTTCAAATGGTTATAGTGATCCACCTTGTAGAAATATTATTTAGATGATAATGTTCCAACAACTCATGAACTTATAGATGCCTACAATGTGCGAGTGTATCTCCATTCATTTTATATAGTTGGTGATAAGTTACTCTAAAAATAACTATTTGCAATGAAATAATGAACATGGAGTTTTTATGTTTAATTTAACTTTCATCTTATACTGATGGTAAAAATTGGACATTTCAGTTTGAACATATTATTAAATTTATTAGTTAATTGTGAGAAATTTTTTTGGAACATCGAATATTAATTAATCTTTTATATATATATATATATATATATATATATATATATATATATATATATATATATAAAGTCATATTATGATAATTAAGATTAGTGGAAAATTTTTAATAGAAAATTGAGTAAGACGGTATTAAAAATCTTAATATTTTTTTATTGTTTTTTTGAAAAATATAGAAAACATTCAATAAATTTTTATCCAATTAATTTTTAGTAAAAAATAAATTAAATAAAAAATTTAAAAGATAATTTTTTATAAAAAGTATAATATCTTTTAGATATTTTTATTTTATAAATATAATTTTAAATAATAATTATTTTATTATTATTATATTATTATTGTTGTTATTATCAAACTTTTATTATCTGACACATTTTATATAATTATGATAGTAATAGTTTGTGATATATATCAAGGCGCTATAAAATTATATCTTTGAAATAAAAGAAAATACATTGATGAAAGGTCATAGCAATAAAGTTTGGTAAGACTACGATAGTTGATTATGAATTTGATTTTAGTTTATGTATATATTGAATACATTTTCTCTTTATTTTATTTATGTATATATTGAATAAAATTATGATTTATTTATTTTATTTTTATTTAAAAATATAAGTTTTACATTATTTTGATACAGAACATACGAGAATAAATTTTAAAATTAATTTATTATTACTATTATGATATTTTACATTGAAACTAAATTTATATTAGGTTAGAATTTATGATAATGATTTAAAATTGAAAGAAAGTTGTTTATATAAATAATTAGGATAAATTTTAAGCAACTGATACGTGAAATCATAATAAAATATTTAATTTTATTATTAAACTATTCTTGTTAAAATTTTCTTTGTAGATGTTATTATTAATTTTAATAAATAATTTATTAATTATTCTTTATATATTTAAATATATGACTTTTTCAATGTTTGTTTTCATTTTATATTAGATTGAGTTTGGTCAACATTCAAACTAATTTTCAATGTTAAAAGATTTGTCGAGATTCTCTATCATATAAATAAGGATCTTTGCTAAATAATAATAATAATTAATATTTTCTATGTAATTTAGTTAATAAATTCAAAAATAAACTTTATGACTTAACATGGTATAAAAGTAAGTATATTGGACTTCTCAACATTTTGTCGGAATCCAAAATGGTGATGACCTTAAGATTAATTTCTCTATTTCTTGTTCTCTCAAATGTAGTTATTGTTAATGTTATATTTTTTAAAAGTTTAGACGTGAACATCTCAACTACCAAGGTTTTAGAGAAAGAGTCAAAATTATAGTATAAACAGTGTGAATAACATTGAAAGTGAAGAGTTTCATGTTGCCCATCAAGCTTATTCTCCATCATTTGCTTCTTCACATGGTTGCAGTGATCCACCTAGTAGATATTTACATGAGTTGAATTCAATGGTTGATTATAAGAATGTGATCAAATATCTAACTTATTAATTTATTCTTAGTAATGTTAAAATTAAAAGGTTCCCTACTCTTCCTAAAGGACATGTTCCACCTCCTGGACCTTCGCATGGTTGCAGTGCACCACCTTGTGAAGATCCACATAACCTAAATCCACCCGTTGAAACGAATAATATGTTCAGACATCGTGTTCACATATATGTTGTTAACAACATAAAAAATAAAGAATTTCATGTTCTTTCCAATCCACTTTTAGTGCTTCAAATAATTGTAATTATCCACTTTATAAAAATCTTATTTAAATGATAATGTTCCACTAACTAAAGAATTTATTGATAGATATAAATGTTTTAAGTGTGTCTGCATTAATTTTATATAAATGATGATAAAGTTACTCTAAAAGTAACTATTTACAATCAAACAATGGAGACAAAGTTTTTCAATTTAATTTAACTTGATATTGTAAGATAGTAAAAATTAGACATTTCAGTTCTAACATATTGTTAATTTTATTAGTTAATTGTGATATATATATATATATATATATATATATATATATAAATAAATAAATAAAGTGATATTATAAGAATTAAGATTAGTAGAATTTTTTATTATTAAAATTCTTAATATTTTTTATTAATTTTTATTATTTCTTTTGAAAAAAATATAAAACATTTAATAAATTTTTATCCAATTAATTTTTAGTAAAAAATAAATTAAATAAAAAAATGTAAAAGATAATTTTTTATAAAAAGTATAATATCTTTTAGATTTTTTTATTTTATAAATATAGTTTTAAATAATAGTTATTTTATTATATTATTATTATTATTGTTATCAGACTTTTATTATCTAATATATTTTATATAATTATGATAGTAATAATTTCTTTTCTTTTATAATAAATATTTTTATTAATAAATTTATTATATCATAGAAATTTTTATTTACTAAATTTCATTAAATTTCAAGTAAATCTTTATATCTTAAACATACATATATTTATCTATTGAGATTTAAAATCATTAATAATTTATATTAGAGACTTACCGTGATTTTGTTGGCTTACACATTAATGCATGAGAAATAAAAAGCATTTTAGTTAATTTTTGAGATATATATCATGCCGCTTATTAATTATAAGTTTCATCGTTAGGATGGTCAAATAAACAAAATACATTGATCAAAGTTCATAGTAATAAAGTTTGGCAAGACTACGATAGTTTATTATGAATTTGATTTTGATTTATTTTCTCTTTATTTGTTTCTGTGTATATTGAATAAAATTATGATTTATTTATTATTTATTTTAAATAAATAATTGGTCTTCACATGATCCAATCATGTCAAAGGTTTGAACTTGGTACTCAGGACGAAGTTTAAGTTACTCTCCAAAAATATTTGTTAGAATGAAAATATATGCATAATTCTTTAAAATTTAGTTACTTAAATCCGACAAGACCTAATAGGTAATTTAATAAATCTATTTTTTATTTATTAAGAAAGAAAGTTTTGTAAATATTTAGTATTTATATATTATTATGAAGATATTTTATTCATATTAAACCACAATTTTATTAAGATTAAATTAAAGTTATATTACCTGTCCCACATAGATAATATTGAAAATTTTAATTTATTATTTGTTTTATATAAAGAATTTATTTAATAAAGTGCATGATAAAATTTCAAATTAAAGTTATATTAATAATTTTTTTATATAAAAACATGATATACAAAGAAATGAAATTATTTCATGAATTTTAATATGAAAAAGTTACACAATTGAGACAAAAAGCTTATACAGTAAATATAAAACTACAAAAGTCAATTTTTGTCGACATAATTGATTATCCTTCTTTCGTAATTGATTATGTACGTAAATATTATAATACACTATACATAATTGATTATGTTAAAAAATTAATAATATATATTTATTTTCTTATTATAATAATAAATAATTAAAAAATATATAATAACAATTTAATAATAAATTAATTAATTTAACTTTTCATTCATTTCTACTCATTTTTTTAATTCAAACAACTTCAATTTCTATTTTTCTTTTCACCATTTCTATTTCTTCAAATTCACTCTTCAATCCAATTCAAATAAAAATTAAGAAAAGATAAAATAATTTAGTTAAAGAATACACCATTAATTTAGGTCTACTTATTTCTTACTTATTTTATTTTTATTAACTTTCTTATTAGTTATATTGTTCTATTTATTGATTGTATGTGTATTTTATTTATTCTTTCTTAATTCACTTGAAATAAATTTAATTATTGAAAATAGGGACTTATATTTTTTTTAATAGAATGACTCATGCAAAATATCTAAATCTCTACTCATTAGGTTGATCTTTATGGATTATTTAATTTCTCCTATTGATTAAACAAAAACCTAAGCTTCCCTACTAATCATATGTTGAACCCTAAGACTTGTAAACACAAAATATGAACATCTTTGTTCATTGTAAGAGAATTTTTAGAAGTTTCATGTGATTCTTCTAGTAGAAAACTATGAGGATATATAAGAATGAATATTTTCATCCTTTTGAAGAAAAAGTAGTAAAATAAACAAATACATTTAAAAATGTTACAAAATTGCAAATGAAAAACAAATAGAAATTATTTTTAAATGTAAAACTATAAAAGTATAAACATCATTTCAATTCAATTTGAGTATTGTTTCTGCTACCCAGAATATTTTCCTCCAATGATAATTTAAGAGATGTCTCATCTTACCTTCATTATCTAAAACTTCTAGTTCCATTACTAATGGTTAATGGGATTTTTAACTATTCGAATTATTTTAAGAATTCAAATCAAACTAATTAAATTGATTTTGATTTGTAGTTTAGTTAATCTAATATGAACTAAACAATCTAATTTGATAATTATTATTAGGATATTAGATTTGTGAATAATGTGTTTCTTTTATCATGTATAGAATTTTAGGATATAATTATATAAATTTTTAAGATTTTTCTTATTATTTAATTGTTGTAACATATTATCTGTGTCTTTTATCATACTATGTGTTTTCGATACAAAATTTTGTATATTTATATATAATTGGATCTGAATGTATCTATAGTGATTATAAATAGACCAAACATCTTATACTTAATATATTTTTTGATTTAATTACCTGAAATAATTTTAATTTTAATCAATGTTCCAGGAATAACACTGAAATGTAAGTGTTGAATTCCAGATTTCACTTATCTAATTATTATATTATATAGTTCCAGAATTACCATCACTCGTGGTCCAATAAACGAATGCCACGTAGATAAACGAATTTAAACACAGAAAACCCCTGGTGTTTCTATTGGTGGTGACGGAAATTACCAACACCAGCACGTAATATTAATGAAACTACAAGTTGAAAAGCGAAAAGGACAAGGATGCATTATATCCGGATTTAAGAATCGCGACTTTCCTTTCTCTCTCTAAACAATCTCTCTCTAAAACCTACAGCCAAACCCTCAGCACACTTTTCACTGTAACAACAAGATCTAACCCTGGTACTAACTCTGTTCTTTTTTATATTCATCGTTTCTCTTTGATGGGTATCAGCGTTTGAATTTATATGTTATTTTCATTTCTGGGTTCCTTGCAAAATTGATTCTTGTTCCCTTGGTATCCGTGTACGTCGTGGAGAAATCTGTGCAGTTTTTTTCAACTGGGTCTTTTACATTTTTCCAAATTCCCGGGGTGAAAAGCGGGGGTTATATTTTTTGGTTTATTGAATGTTTGAAGTTTTAATTTTTGTTAGATACAATCTCCGTGGAGGAACAAGAGAAGGGTTTGTGTGGAACGTCAGAATCCGCAATGAACCATGAGGAGAAAGTGGGGGCCCAAACCCTAGAAGGGTCTGTGGACTATGGGGGTGAGGTTCAGATGGAGGGTTCATTCTCGGAGGCGTTGGTTGGAGAGGGTGTGGATTGTAATGGGAAGGATGTAATGGTGGAGGTTTTGGGCTCTGATGTGTACATAGATGGTGTTTGTACTCATGGTAATGGTGCTGAGCTTCGTGGTGACGTGGGTGGTGGTGGATCAGTTGAGGGTTTTCGGGAGGATGTGTGGTCTGGAACTCTAGGTGGTGAAGACTCTCAGGGCGCAGAATCTGAAGAAGGTAGGAGTGAGAATGTGGCAGTGGAAGAAGAAGGTCGGAGTGTGATGAATATGGCAATGGAATTGGATAATACGGTGTTGGGGAGGGAAGGTAGAAATGAAGCCGTAGTTGGTAGGGAAGTTGATGCTGCATCTTTACAGGAGGGGGCTGTTTTCGATAATAGAACTCAGAAAGAAGTGGGGGCTGTGGTTAGCAATATTGAAGATCCTATTGTGGTAAACATTGGGGTTGAGTGCGCAAATGCACTGGATGCGGGGGCCTCAGATCACGAGGTGATAAATAGTAGATGTGATGATGCTTTAAGAGGCCAATTAACAGGTAGTTCTGTAGAAGGAGAGAATGTACAGAGTGGATGTGCTGAACAGGATAATGAAGTCACAAGAGACGGAGATGATGTGACCTTGGACAAAGAGAAGAACATTGCTAACTTGCAAAGTGATAAAATATTGGAGAAAGAAGAAGAATATATCAGCAACAAAGTTGAATCTGAGGAAAAGTTAAATTCAGATGTTGAACAACCCATGGAGATTAGTAGAGTTGATGATGACTCCAATAATGTCCTAGAAGAAGTGGTTGACGGAACTGAAGTTACAATGGATGAGGCTACTCCGACTTCTGATGAAAAGCAGTGGTTAAGAAAATGCACTGAAAAGGAACAGACATCTGAAACTTTACAGCTTAGTTCAGATACAGGGCAGGGAGTTGTTGATAAGGATTCAACAGAAGAAGTGGTACTAAACAAAAATGTTTCTGATACTGAAAATTGTGGTTTGTCTAAGGGGACAGAAGTAGAAGCCGAAGGTCAAATAGAATCAGAAAGTACTGAAACAATGAACCACACTTCATTTATTGAAGGTAAGATATCTTTTGTAAGAAATGATGTTGTAATTATAAATACAAATTTTCTGTTGATTCCTGATTGTTGCCTTTGTAATTATGTAGATGAAGGTACATTTGTATCTTTCAGAAGTGAGAAAAATTTAGATGCTAATACAATTTATGTGATTGTAGAAGACACTCAAATCGCAGACCAGGATAACCTTGCACTGATGGATGCTGGAAAGGAAAACGTCCATGATGATATTAGAGAAAATTTTGAAGTACAAACTGGCATTTCTGAGCAGGTTGGTTCAAATGGAGCTCAGGAAGTTGAAGAATTTTTTGAAGCTGAACAGAGAAAAGTAGAGGGAAGAGTCACTAGACGTTCATCATTAATGAGGGCTGCAAATTCAGAAATATCTCATTATGCAAGATATTTGCTGCCAACAGAAAAGGAAAGTGACTTTTCTGTGTCAAATATGGTTTGGGGAAAGGTGAGGAGCCACCCTTGGTGGCCTGGACAGATATTTGATCCCTTAGATTCGTCTGAGAAGGCAATGAAGCATTATAAAAAGGACTGTTATTTGGTAGCATATTTTGGGGATAGAACATTTGCTTGGAATGAAGAAACTCAACTAAAACCTTTTAGGACACATTTCTCCTCTATAGAAAAGCAGAGCACTTCAGAGTCATTTCAGAATGCTGTAGATTGTGCTCTGGATGAAATCACAAGACGAGTAGAATATGGGCTGTCATGTTCTTGTATACCTAAAGATACCTATGACTCAATTAAATTCCAGACTGTAGAAAACACTGGGATTCGACCAGAATTAAGTGTTAGACATGGAGTTGATGAATCTCTAAATGCCAGCACCTTTTCACCTGATAAGCTTGTAGAATACTTGAAAACACTATCTGAATTGCCAACTGGTGGGTTTGATCGATTGGAGCTGGGGATCGCTAAGGCTCAACTGCTTGCATTCTATCGCTTCAAGGGTTATTCTTGCTTGCCAGAATTACAATATTGTGGAGGTTTTGATGATGACATGGACAGCTTAATTCATGATGATGAGAATAAAGTTATTGATCATGCAGCTCCTGTAAGTAAGAATGATGGTCAAGCTGGTTCTGGAAATTTAAAAAACCAAAACAGCACTCGTCGCAAACGGAAACATAACTTGAAGGATATTATGCAAGAAACAAAGAAGGAAAGAAGCTTGTCTGAACTAATGGGTGGGACTCCGGACTCTCCTGATGGTGATTATTGGTTCGATGAGAACTTAACTGATAATCTTTTTTCACCTGGCCGGTCCAAGAAAAGGAGGACTGTTGATCACTATGATGATGACTTTGGGAAGCAAGATGGAAGGAAAACAATTTCTGTTGCAAAAGTTTCTAATACCACAAAGCCATCATTCTTAATTGGTGACCGAATTCGCAGGGTTGCTAGTAAACTTACTGGTTCACCCTCTGTGGTGAGGAGTTCTAGTGACCGGTCTCAGAAGACAGATGTTAATACTGACGGTATTTCTGTGAATGGATCTGATGTTTCCTTTGAGGAGGCTCAGAGGTCAAGTATGGTTGTTCCAACAGAGTATTCATCTCTGGACGATTTGCTATCTTCACTTTATTTGGTGGCACAAGAACCCCTTGGAGACTATCGCTTCCTGAATCCTATTGTAAGCTTCTTCTCTGATTTCAGGGATTCTATAACTGTGGCTGGTGATTCTGTAAAAGATATCTTTTGTACAGAAAAGGTTGGTACTAAAAGGAAGAAGCCGCCCATAGCTGGATCGTCTGAAACATTTGAATTTGAGGATATGAGTGACACATATTGGACAGACAGGGTCATTGACAATGGAAGTGAAGCACAACTGGCACAAGCATCACAACCAACACAACCAACGCAACCAGCACGGAGAAACCGGAAAAAAGACCATCAACATGTTTCTGCTGAGCCAGGGAAGCCTGTTCAAATTAGTCGAAGGCCCTATTCCAGGAAACAGTATTCTAACAGCAATCATGTTGAGGCTCCTCAGAAACCTGCTGGTTATGTAGATGAGAATGCCCCTGCTGAACTTGTTATGAACTTTGCTGAGTTAGGTTCTGTTCCATCAGAAACAAATCTTAATAAAATGTTTAGGCGTTTTGGACCTCTAAAGGAAGCCGAGACAGAAGTTGATACAGTAAGCAGCCGGGCAAGAGTGGTTTTTAAAAAGTGTTCTGATGCAGAGGTTGCTTGTAGTAGTGCTCAAAAGTTCAACATATTTGGTCCAATACTTGTGAATTATCAGCTTAACTATACTCCAAGTGCATTGTTCAAAGCTTCGTCTGTTGCAACAACACAGGACCACGAAATGCATTTTGATCTCTCCAATTTTGAAGTTAATCTTGGTAAGTAACTTAAATCCCTATTTCATACACAATATGTTAATTGGTTCACTTTAGGCTACAGTTATTTTATGCTATTGTGATGGGGTATGCACTTAGCTTAAGGAAAAGATTATGCTTGGGGATTTTGTTATCATGTAAAAGGCTAACCTTAAAGTGAGCTTGATTGAAAATTTAGCCAGTAGTGGTGTGCATCCACCTTACTTAGAGTTAAGTTACCTCTGATCTTAATCCACTGAATTGATATAAGGATGGACAAATCATACTTGCTTGTTTTATAGACGTTCTCACTTTAGAGGAGCCTTTATCAATCACATCTTAGTTATTCAGGTATAGTTTTAATTTGTTGGTTGATTGAATTATTCCATAAACTTAATCTGCCAAAGATATTTAGGGTAAATAGTTACTTATGAAGAAACATTATAACAGACTATCAAAATAGAATACAATCAAGATGAGGCTGCTCAGGATTTGAATTTAATTTATATGCTCTCATCTGTGTAAAAGTGTTTTACACGTTACACTGATAGTGCTTATAAATTAACTCGAGTTTTTACCTTCCCTGAAACTTTTGAAGAAAAGAAATGATTGTCTGGCAACTGTTTGAGACTACTAAAGAAAGAACTCTGGAAAAGAACAAGGGCCTATTATATAGACTCATAAAACTGGTTTAGTAATAACAAACCAAGTCTATGAATTAAAATCAAACCATAAGAACATGATCTCTCTCCATAGGTTGGCTAAAAATGATCCAAGAATATAAGATTCAACCATTGGGATTATAAATCTATGAAAAACACATGAATTAGAAAATGTTTGAAATCCATATTTGAACAAAACTAGATTTCAACAAAATAAACTATAGAATTGAAAGACAAGGCAATAATATTCGGTGGAAATGTAAAGAAATCACAAAACAAGGCAAGAATCATATGGATTTAATGGATCAAATCTCATGAACAAAAATGAGTATGAAACCCATTCTTGAAGCTCCAAGACTCATGGCTAAATGATGAACACTAACCATAGAATTGATTTTAATGCTATCGGAAGTTAAATGGCATTGGAAAAAAATAATTGAAGAACAAAAAGATAAAAGGTGGAAAGAGATAAAGGAATGTAGGACACTTGAATGTAAGCGATTCAAGAAAAGGATAAAAAAAGATATGTTCATATACCTCTTGGGAGAAAAAACTCAGGGACAAGCTTTTCCAAAAACTCTAATTCATTCAATTCCTCAAATTTCAGATTTTACAGTGTGAAGTCACCTATATAAAAGAGAAGTGACCTAAAATCCAAAACTTCATCGAGAAGCTTAGTGGTGTTTGGTTGCAAGACTGGGCCATACTAACCTATTCTTGTAAACAAACACTACAAATGATCTTATTCCTAATAGAGCCATCCTATTAGTCCAACAATGGTTTTAGTTTCTAAAAATGCACATACTTGAAAACTCTATTTTTCTTAAACAAAGCAGGATTCTCTAATCTACTTATGTAATTGACTTTAAATGTTCTTGTTCAAGCTCTTTAGCAATTCTTTTGGTTATCCTTCCTTTCTATTCTCCATCTACATAGTGGAATATTTCTTTGTCCTTGGATTTGATCATAACTCTTGTAACTATTCTTCTTTGTATGTTAGTCTTCCTATCCATGCCATTGTCAGTCTATTATGTGCTTGGAAAATTTGTTCCTTACACTTTGTCTTTCTTGATGCCAATGCATCCTACGTGAGTTCTATTTTTTGGGAACGAGCATTTTTGAATATTTTGATAAGTAAATAGAATCAACTGGTTCTTTGGTGGAAGAATGAATTTGAATTCTGCTATCCTTTCTTTAGCTACCAGCATGATTAATATATACAATTGTGACGGTAGAGAGTTGGGAATGCTTAAATTATGAAGGGAGAAAATGTGATTTATTTGTTTGCATCATTCATAACTAATATTCCATGAATTATAAATGATATTTGTGATTCCCATTTTAGGGAATGTTGATGACGATGTGGTGGCAAGTTTGGCTTTGCCTGAATGAATAGTTGAAGCAAAATTTCACCAAGTGGCTGCTGAAGTAGGTAGGTAACCAGAGAATGTTAATTCATCTGGTCATCCATTTTTCTGTTAAGAGATATTTTTGGTTGTAGGATTCCTTTTATTGTAGTTTCTTAGTTTGTAATTCATTTTCTAGTTTTCTGTATAGCCTTGCCAACTGACCCTCTTTTGTAGTTGCCATCATTCTCCAGCCTTATTGTTTTAAATTCTCTCGTCTGAACACTGGTTCTGTATCCATATCAATGCTACATATAATAGTCATCGCCAATTATAGTTAACCTTCAGTCATTGCTAGTCATATTGGCTATGTGTCCCTGTGTCAGTAATTTCTAAGTGCAGTAGTTTGTTAATCAGTAGCTTATGCTTGACTAAATTTCCATATTAGACATTTTAATACATTGATGAGTGGTGACTGTATAATAGGCATGTGACATTGAGCAGATTTCAAGTACTTGGCGAATGTTTGGTTTATTATTAATGGCTTCTTTTTTTTCATCAGCTTTCTCTAGAAGTTAACAAAATTAATTAATTTTTTCTGCGATCACCAAATATGTACTTGTTATAGAGAAATGGTTTTTCAGGAGATTCTTATTCCTTTTCTTTTTCTTGCTGAGAGTTTGTTCTAATGATCTAGGGTCTCTATCCTCCCCAAATGTTAGTTCTCTTCAAGATGTACCTTTCTATTAAATTTATGGTATTTAGTATGTATGGTCTTTTTATTTTATTTTTTATTTCAAGTTTCTAAATAAAAAGAGAAATTGGTTACCTACACTATTGGTGAGGCAATTGGAGATCATGTTCAGAGCCCCCGTTCAGATGATTTAACAATTACAGCACAGTGGACTTGAAATTTGGATTCTGGAATTAAGATCATCTGCACTTGTAAGTTGTGGCATACCTCTATGTTGAAATCGTAGTGTGTATGGAACTCATGATTTCAATTCTACCTAAACTCATGATTTAGTCGTTTTACATTTCGTGAATTGGATTTGGATCCAATTTTATTTTATTTTTTCCTGTCAAAAAGGTTCCTATAGATTTCCAACTACACTCAATTTCACCCAAATTGAAATGGGTTCTTCACACTAATTTTGTTGGGTGCTCCCTGAGATTAGATCAATACTATTTTTTTTTCCTCTTGGCAAATTCTTTTTTTTATTTCCTTGACCAATCCGTATTCGTATTTTTTAATCTACCCTTTTTCAGAAATGATTTTCGAAATTTGTAGTACATTCCAAATGTTAGTTATTGAAAGCTTGATTGTAATAGAAAACTAATATCCAAGATGAAAACGTGTGAATTGGGGAAATGATGATGAGGGAGTGGACTGTGTAAATGTGTGTATGTGAAAGAACTTGATATTTTTCTTAGGGTTAGGAGAAATTTGTAATTATTATGATTTTCTTAATCCTTCTTTTTGGCAATGAAGAACTTGAAATTCTTCTTTTTTCCATATGGATCGAGAGGTTGAAATCTAAGCATAAAAAGAATAAAATATTTGGTTGTTGAACAATTACTTCTTGATCTTTGATCTCTTCATCAATATGAACATCCTTAATTAGTATAATGAAATATTATGATTTATCTTCCTCTTTTCACAAGAACTGGGAGAGTAGGTTTGAAAAAGATTGATGATCATAAAGAAGAAAATAAAACAACCACCTTTGGGAAAGGATGAATTGCTTCAAATGAATTAATTTGTAATAGTTTAGTGGTGGGAGAATAATTTTGAATAAAAGTAGTTGAAATAACTTTTCCTCTTTCCTAAAAATCATCGAGTCTCAAGAATATTAGTATTTCTAACATCTTAATAATCCTCATATATTTGATTCTTGTGTTATTATCAAAATCTTTGTACACTAGTTGTAAAGAATACCATATTTTTCAATGTAACTTTTTTTTTTACATGATTTTCTTATTAAATTTAATAAAATATTTATATGATTAAAAAATAATTGATTATTTTCATAAATTTATATGAATAATAAAATAATTTATTTAAAGAAAGTTGTACAAAGCATAGTTGTGATTTATTATATGTATGTACTAACTTTATATGTATAGCCATTACAACTTCTTTTTACATGGTATTCAATAAATTACTTTTTTTTCTTATGAAAAAAAAAAACATGTCTTTTTATATGGGACTTGGAAGATAGAAGTGATTTTTTTTTTCCTTTTTAATGTGACTTTTGAAGATAGAATTGATTATTGATATATAGAGAAGTAATGATATGTATATATTTAACAAAGACAGAAAAAAATACATGTTAAACTATTTAGTAAATTAGTCCTTATACAGGACTTATAAAAGAATAAGGTGACGCTTAAAAAATATTTTTCAATACGAAACTTTTGAAGATAGAATAGAAGTGAAACATTTTTTTCTTTTTCAATGTTCAACTTTTGGAGATAGAAGTGAAAACAAATCCCCTTTTATTTGTGTTTCCATAATATATATTATTCAAGACTAATTTCTATTCTTCAATAAATATTTGGATTTTTATTTTTAATATTGGAAGTGGTCAAAGATTATTAGAGAAAAGTAGTAACTTTATCATCATTCATGACTATTTATTTGTAGAATTGAGTATCTTAGACTTGGGTGTACTCTAAAGCAACACATCAATTGAAAGTATATTTATTAGAACATTTATTATATAGTTATCAAATCTCAATTCTAATTAAGTAACAATATCAAAAAATGAAAAGCATAAAAATATAACTAAAAGGTTTATATGAATTTGAAAATAAAAGAGGAAACTGAAGTAATTAGTTGGATGAGAAATGTTTTAGGCATAGGGCCAATAATTAAAGGCTGCGTGAGGAGAAAAAGTTAGAAGGAATTAAGTGTTGTGATAGGGAAGTGTAGGTGTTTGGTTACTCACATTGCCTACCCTATAATTAGATCCAATTTATCTTTCAAGAATGTGTGATTGTGAGGACTTGTATCCTTTTGGGCCCAATCCCTTCTGCATTCAATTGGCCCATGTGGTCCAATTTTTTAATCATTGCCTTTTCCTTTGTCTCAAAAGCCACCTCATCCCACATATCAAACATGTGAAATGTGAACTCTATTTCCTCTACCCACCACATCCTCTCTCATTCACATTTCTCTCTTAATTTATATGCAAGAGAGAGTCAAAACAAAAATATCTATATTAATTATACTTATATTTTTAATTATATTTATTATAAAAAGAAAATATTTAAATAATAAAAATTTCGATAAAAAACTAACAAATTTATTAAAACTAATAAAATTTAATACTTATCTTAATTTAAATAGTCCAATCTTAATTTACACCTATTTAAAAGTAAAAAGAATAGAACTTTATAAGATTAAATTATAAAGAAAAATATTTTCGTTATTTATAAATCATAATTTTATTACATATTTACTGGTGTCGCAAAATAATTATTTTATAAATTTGTAAGTGTTTATTAGTTTTCATAAATATTTTTATTTTTTAGTCAGTATATTAAACATCATGAGTAAAATCAATTCGCACGAATTAAAAAATATATATTAAACAAAAAATATCACTGGATTAGTTTATTTAATTTTGAACATTAAATAAGACAGTTGAAATATCTAACACAAGTAATTATTTTTTAAAAAATATTGAAAAACAACAACTTTGTTTAGTCCCTTTCCAATCAGTCACCGGGGACAACTGTCTTATATTTTGGCTAACTTCATTTCAATGATTTTGTTTTATGTATTTATTTGGTTATTTTTAGAACCACATAACAACATCATAATTGCCCATTGTTTTTTTCTTTTTTTTTCAATACAGTAGCTCAGTAAATAAAATCTCTACATAAGATAATTTAATTTAATGCTTTTGTGGGACATATAACCATATATATTTTTTATATATGCTCTTACTTATTTTACATTTAGTACCATATTTCTCCCCTCCTCGTAAACCTCGTTAGCTTTTTCTCTAATATCTGTTTGTTTTTAAGGTGGTTTAATAAAAAAATATTGAATATAAGAACTATTTAGTATTTAAATACATATTTAGTAATTTTCTTGATTTAAAATAACTGGGCAATTGAATAAGAACACTAATACAATTGTCCAATTGCAAAAAACAGGTAGAAAATGGAAAGAGAAAGGCAGAAAGGGGTGAAATCATGTTGGTTTTTATGTCTCCTTAGTCTTACCCTCTTTCCAAAAGATAAGGGCATGTGCATCAGTCAGTCCTCACAGTTAGCACTTCTCTACAATATCTTTGCATTTGAGGCCAATCACATCTCTGAGTCAGTCATAACCAGGTTATTGTGCCTTATTTCCTTTCATTCTGGAACAAGTTCATGTTCTCTCTCATCTCTTCTTCTAACCTTAATTTCAGTCTATCTGTTCTTCTGACAGATATTTCTACCTCCAATCCAGTCTTCTATCTTCCTTGTTGTGCATAACAATCAAAGGGTCATCTCTTTCTGTCTGTCTGGCTGTCTGCCTGTCTGTCTCTCTCTCTCTCTCAGTTTGAGTTTCACTGTGGTTTAATTTCACTGAATAGGGAAGTACATGAGACTCTTTCAAAAGGGTATAATTTGAGGACCAGAAGCAGGTGAAAGAGGAGAGCTTTTCCAAGACATGGCTATGTTTGATCTCAATGTTGACATCAACCATGCTGATGGTGATGCTGACTCAAGCTGTGCTCAAAAGGGGGTGAAACTGCAAACTTTTCCACCTGAAATCTCAGATTCCAGGACCTCCAACTCCTCTGTGTGGAATCCTGCTGATGAGGATTCCTCAAATTACTCCTCTCCCTTGATTTTTGACATACTGAAGAAAGCGAGGGGTGGCTCAGAGTTTGATGCTGCCACTGAAGGCAACAAGGAGCAAAACACTGCACAAAAGGGAGAGATGGTGACAAGGACCCTTTTCCCTGTGACTGCTGCTGATAAAGGAGGGAGGGTGCCTGATTTCAAATTGGGGTTGTGGGGGAAGACTCAGTGGCTGAACCTGTCCTCTCCCGAGCCTGATGGACAAACTGGACTGAGAACCTTACAGCAGAAGCTACCTCATGTGAAGAAAAATAGGAGAGGACCAAGGTCTCGCAGCTCCCAGTACCGGGGTGTCACCTTCTACCGCAGGACTGGTAGATGGGAGTCACATATTTGGTATGATTTATGATGTTGAATTTCTAGCCCAAGATGTTAGTTTCAGTATACTTTCCTTATAGATCATAAAAAATAATATGCTGCAATTAGTGGATATAGTAAAGTTTCTAAATTTTAGTCTATAAATACCAAGGTTTTAAATTGTGTTCTATAATTACCAAGGTTTTAATTGTTGTCACGATACTCTTGTGACAGGATCCTTAATATTGTAGAAAATTGTTAACAAATGTAGATGGTGCAGATATGATTGTCGTACTATGTGTTGGCAGAGACCCTAAAAACCTTGACATTGCAGCTGCTATTGTCGTTGCAGATGGTTTCTTGAAATTTTGGTGATTATAGTTGATGTCATGGCTTTGGAGGTCTCTGCAACCACATATGAGCATATGACCATAAATGAGTTTCATTTGCCTATTATTTTTCTAACTACCATTGGACTGCAATTTAAACCATGAAAGCAGTAATTGTAATTATTGTCCTTGCTGTCATTAACTGTTTGGTGATCTGGACTCGCATCATTGAATTTTGCTTTTATGGAGTGCAGGGATTGTGGGAAGCAGGTCTATTTGGGTAAGTGGAAATTTGATTTGGTTGGTGTTTTCTTTATTCAAATTGGTTACTTGGAAGCTATTTCTGTGGTGATTTATTTTTTAAGTATGTGTATTTGGGTTACGAAATTGGCCTAATTTGATTTTTGTTAGGTGGATTTGACACTGCTCAAGCTGCTGCAAGGTAAGGATTGCACTTTGACTGAAGCCAAAGCTACATTATTTGCAACTTCTTTTTGTAGTTTATTTATCTGTAACACTTGTTCACAAACTTGATATTGTTCTCTTTACAGAGCATATGACAGGGCTGCTATCAAGTTTCGTGGAGTAGATGCTGATATAAACTTCAGTTTGAGTGATTATGAGGAGGATTTGAAGCAGGTATCGAACCAAAAGCATGGATGGGCATCAGTTTCATTTGATTTTTCTGTCACAATTTAATTCATGATTTAATTGAGTTGTAGATGAGAGCTTTGAGTAAAGAAGAGTTTGTGCTTGTACTTCGTCGACAAATCAATGGAATCTCGAGGAGAAATCCAACTTACAGAGGTGCATTAGCTCTTCACAAAGGTGGCCAAGGAGAACCAAGAATGGGACCATTTCTTGGCAAGACGTGAGAACTGTTATTTCATGCATTATTCAAATTTTACTCACATCATCTATGCAATCATTCATGTAGCATGTGAGTAATTCTTGTAAGAGCACTGTGGTGTGAATATAGGCACCATCAACAAAATACGCACGATAACATTGAAACAAGAACTTTGTTTTTCTTTTTTACTTTAGTATAGATTGCATTTGTTATTCATTGTGCCTATACACATTGTATTTATGCAATAATTGTTTTTGTGGTGTGAATATAGAAAGAATTTTGCATACATCACTTGTAGTGCCTTGTTATTTAGGTAATTATATTTCTAGTTTATCATCCTACTTAATTAGGCGTTACCTTTTTTGCCTGAGAAATACAATCTCCATAGAAAGTCTTTGCAATTTATACTTTTCTTCTCTATATCTCTCCATCATATTACTCATTTTATCACACATTGCTTTTTATCTTTCTATATCTTTGTGCAAAAGTTGTTATATAAGAATCAAGTACAACTGCAATAACTTTGTTTTTATCCTACCATGATATGTTTTCATGGCTTTGTGTGGCACTGGCAAGCTTATATCCAATAGGAAAGACTCTAATAGTCCTTTATTGGAATACTGAATTTATTGTCCTAGTATGTAATTGTGCATGATATTTTCTTTGTGCAGATTTTATCACCAGTCTTCCATCAAGTGTGATGAAGGAAAAGTGGAGGACAGTTTTAGGCCCTTTTCCTATAAGGAAAAAATAATTGCAAATTCCAGCATAGCAGGTATGAGGAGATGATGTGTATGTTGGCAAGCTCAAATTCTTTTGCTGCTTTGTTTATCTTTTGTTATCCTGTGTGATTTAGAACATTGACTCATGAAACTTATTTTTAAAATTGAAGCAGGCACTTGCCATAATCTTGATTTGAGCCTAGCGATATCTCCATCTTCTAAAAAGTTGAAGAATTATGATTATGGTGGAGAGTATTCCGTTGGAAGTATGGCTTGTAAGATACCTGGGGAAATAGGAACAATGGTACTACTCTTTGCTTTCCTTCAATTTCTTTTTGATGGATGAATACTCACTTCTATAGGAGCAAGTCTTGTTATATGCTATTAATATCCTTTTATATATGTAAAATTTTATACTTTCCAAAAATCAGTTGATATTCTCTTTATTCAACTGAAGGCATATATCATTGTAAACATTTCTAATACTGTTAATCATGTATTACTGTTAGGAGAAGTCCATGGTGGACACAATGAGAAATGTTCCTTTGCAAAAGTTTTCCAACTTGGCTTGGAATCTTTGCAGCAATGGCAGCATTGCCTCAAGGCCATTGCAATCAAATGCAGCATCATCAGGATTCGTCTCTTCTTCTGGCTGTCTCATCAGCCACACCTCCAATCAGCACATATATTAATTATGCCAACAATGTGGCATTGGCTCAACCACAGTACTCATCATTAATTCCCCAAGGTTGTGGGGTCACAGTAGATGAAACCAGTAGGAACAATGCATATGGAAGATTAGATGAGCCAGAGTACATCAAGACCACATGATTCCACACTATATTATTCTATGATTTCATCAAATATGACTGTATTTAATAATGTTGCCAAGCATTGATTACAATGCAAACCAATAACTTCTATATTCATTATTGTGATAGAACACTCTGTTGCCTTGTGTAAGAGGCCTTTTAAAGTAAGAGACCCTTCTTGAATTCTGTATATATTTTTCCATAAATGCAAGTTTTATGACACTGGTTTGTGACTTCTGGCTTTCAGTCCCTTGGATCTATCTCCTTTTGCCTTGGATGTAAACATGGCAACCAAATCAACATATTGTCCTGAATAATATATTCTTCTTTTATTTATCTTTTTAGATTAAGAAGCTAAAATCTTTAACACTGTAGTGTGGTTCCAAGACTGAATGCCACAAGTTCATCCAAAAACTTAATGTGCTAACATTCACATTTTATAGAAATTAATTAAGGAGTAGCCCCTTTTCATTTCGAAAAAGGTACTTAATTTAATTTTAACGTTGTAGAATATCTTTCTGAAATAAAAAGGGATGTGCCTTGGTTCTTATAGGACTAAAGAAGAAATGTCCTAAATTTAATATGCAAATATACTCATAATCCTTGTATGTGCCTTCTAATTCATTTAATGTGTATTTTTATTAGACATTGAATATGTTTGTATTGAACTTTTAAGTTAAGAATTTATATATGATTTAAGATGTGTATCTTAAGGAGATTGAGCATAATATCAAAACAAGGATCATTTGTAAATGAGTTTTGGGATCACTAATTAAGTAAACAAGAAATAAGTGAAAAATAAGTACAAAATTTAGGTCCTATAATATAGATCAAATGTTCTTATGATGAAAATCTAAACGTCGTTTGAATTGAGTTTCATACAAAAATTAAAATGGGATAGCTATAATTTTTTTTAAACATATCTTTAATCTTAATTATTTCAAATTGATAATTCAATCTTCTAATTCGTAAAAATACGTGATTTATTTTTATATCTAAATTTAACAATAATTTTTTACATCACAAAGTTTATAATGTGATGAAATTTACAAAACATATGATTTTAATAATATAATAAAAAATGGTAATAACTTGTGGTAATAAAAAGTGGTAGTGATTATTGTGAGTAAAATAAATATAAAAGTAATAGTAATGAGAAGAAGTATAATAAAAATGAAGGAGATATGTATTTGGGTTTGGGCCTGCGAACCACCTATAAACCCTAACTTGCATGAATTTCGGTCAATTTGAATTGATATTTATTAAAAAAATATGAGGGTTAGTTGAAGAAGTGTTGGAGTAGCGTCATTATGCTCGTGACTCCGACATCCAATAGAAGATGTGGCGCACCTTTGACAGCACCACCCTCAGAGCTTTGCGCCTCAGTTCCTTCCTCTTCTCTTCATCTTTGTCTTCTTCTTCTTCACTCACCGCCATTTGTTGCTCCTCTTCCTTCACCACTCTCACCGCAACCATCCCCTCGCACTCTCACTCTCATTCTTTTCCCTCAACGTCCCGCGTTTCTTTCGCGGACTCGCGCTACTTCGCCGCCCCCGTTCCGCGCTGCGTTTCGTCCCTCCCCACTCTGGACTGGAACAATGCCGTTTCCTGTTCTGAGGTCGACGCCGAAAGCCGCGGTGAGGGAACCGTCCATCAAGACATGAAGCCTTCCATTCCCGTCAGAGCCTTTTTCTTCTCTACTAGGTATTTATCACTTTTTTTTTTTTGTTTAATTTGAAATTGAGAACAAGAGTAATGCGAATTTGAAAGTGAAAGTGAACGAAAAAACGTAGAGGACTGGTTAATTTGGACTACTAAAATGTTGGCCATGTTATTTTATAATTTTAACTTTTTTTTGTTTTGTTTTAAATTTGGGAGACCATACATTCACCCCACCTCGGTAGTAAAAAAAAAAAAAAATAGTTGGCTGCATCGGTATGTTTCTGCCGTGGCTTCAGTGTGACTGCAATTGGTTTAAAGCCTTGATTAGTGCTTTAGGTTTATTCAATGAGTTACTAATGTTTCTGCCGTGGCTTCAGTGTGACTGCAATTGGTTTAAAGCCTTGATTAGTGCTTTAGGTTTATTCAATGAGTTACTATTGAACACTATAATAACGTGCCCTACTATTCTCATTCAAATAAATGTAGTTTTGAAGTTTGTAGTATCTACAAATCACTTCATTCTAGGTTAAATATGGCATTTATTTTTAAATGTGGAAATTGTATCTTTAATGCTGCACCAAAATAGTGCTCATTGTTTATTCTCATTTCTCATGAACTATGCCTGTTTATTCTCCAAAACAGGTTGTCTGTCACTCAAAAAGCATCATCTTGGGTGTGTTATTCTAATATTATTGTCATTAGAAATCTATCATTTATTTTGTGATAAATGGGCTACAAAGAGTGTCTTCTCCAGTTACTTTGGTAAATTTATGAACTGTTACGACAAAGTAATATTACAGATATTACAGATTTTAACTAAATGTTGCTACCTTCTTTGATGTTTCTTATATATATATTGATTTATTCTATCTCATTCATTTCTTTGAATGTAGTGTTGATTTAAAAAGTTTGGTGGAACAGAACAAACCAAACTTTGTCCCGTCATCATCACGTATGACAAATTATATAGTTCTCAAGTTTGGTGATATTTGTGATTCAAAGGTATGTCGTCCTTTATTTTGTCCGAACTATTTACCCATGTTCTGTCTTCTTTTCCTTGTTTTATGATTTATCGTGATTCCTCGTTATTGGAGGAATGGTATCCAGTATCTAGGCCGTGCATATCCTATAGACCGTGCTGTAGTCCTTTTTCCATTACAAATCACTATTCTTATTTATAAACTATTCTTATTATAAAGCATTCAAGAGTGTATTTTGTGCCTGGATCAAGTGTATTTTGTGTCTTCTCAACTGTAACATTTGAAGTCATAAGATCAATGATAGTAACTGCAAACTACCTTTTTAGGGTTCAGATACTTTCTTGAGTGGAAGCAGTGGCTATTACATGGTAGTTTTTCAATATGGTTCCATCGTATTGTTTAATGTCCCTGAGCATGAGGTAGATGGCTATTTGAATATGGTTAAGAAGCATGCATCTGGTCTCTTTACAGAAATGAGAAAAGATGGTGAGTTATTTGTGTTTATATTTAAAATATAATGCATATTTTTTTATCCATATAATCAATTGTGGAATTTCAAAAATTGCAGAAAGCCAACAAGCTGTCATGTGAAACAGTGATCTTATTTCTTCCAAAGAGAAACAGTGATAGTATTGCTTCCAAATATTGGAAGAGGATAAACAAAAATTACCTCTAAAAAGAGCACTCTCGTTTTCACATTGGCATTCCCATTGTTGAGTTTTTTTTTTTTTTTTTTTTTTTTTTTCTATTTGTCAAATGTCCCCTCTACATACAACAGATGACCTTTTTTAACAACCTACCACGAATATCCACTAATTACTTACAAATTTCCCTTCAGTAACTCGAATATCCACTAATTATTTACAAATTTCCCTTCAGTAACTCGATCATATCTCGGTCTCCTCTTTATATATCAGTTTTATAGGGTTGAGATAGGTATCTATCTCTCTAATAATGTGTTGAGATAAGTATCTATCTTTCTAATAATCTACAAGTTTGATTTGGGAGTTTTATTTGAGTGATTTTGTGTTTTCTTACACTGTGGTGTTAATTCTATTTAACACTTACACGTGCCTACTCTTAGTCACTTTTTCTTAATATTTGATTTGAAAGAATGTATACTCAACCCATATTTTGCTGTATTGTAACTTGTAATTTGTGATGTGCGTCCAGTAGTATTTTTTGTTAACATGTGAAAATCAACTATTAACATAGCTTATAAATTATTGGATCTTTGAATTATTATTTAGATACACTATTCCCTTGTTGTGATTATTACATTTTTCTTTTATTTTAAGTTTCTATGGTCTTGTTAAATGTTTTTTATACCATTAACTTTTATTCTGTTTTGACTTATGAGATTTTAGAATATGAAGTTAGAGAAAAACCATCATTAAGCACATGGATGGAAGGTGGACTAGATTACATAATGTTACAGTACTTGAACATTGACGGAATTCGAATTATTGGTAGTGTTTTAGGTCAAAGTATTGCTCTTGATTACTATGGTCGGCAGGTATGTTCTTCATATGGTTAGGATTTTCTGATATTTGGATATACGGTATCCTTGTGATATTCCTCTACAGCACTACTCCAACAACTCCCTTCTGCTTTTATTCTAGGTTGATGGAATGGTTGCAGAATTTACAGACATAAACCGTGAGATGGAGGCAACCGGAAAGGTCAAAATGCAAAGGAAGAAGCTTTTTCAGTTGGTGGGCAAGGCAAATTCGAATCTTGCTGATGTCATTCTAAAGCTTGGACTATTTGAGAGGTAATAATTCTATTTTGTGGTAACAAATTTTCTGGTTGTTAGTTTCCTAAGTTGAAAAGAAAAATTGTGCCCATGTTACTAGTTACTGTTTATTTTGGTAGACTTGTCTAGTTTCAATATCCAAATCTTAAAGGGCAATCTAATGAATGAAGCATTGCAACGTAATGAGGGTAGATGTAGGAAACCTTAAACATGCAAATGGAGAGTTTCAATATCCAAATCTTAAAGGGCAATCTAATGAATGAAGCATTGCAATGTAATGAGGGTAGATGTAGGAAACCTTAAACATGCAAATGGAGAGGCTGTGTTCAAGATTTGAATATGACTTCTAGGTCACAAGGGAGTAACCTTATCATTGTACAAGGTTTTCCCTCCCAAATTTATGTTGAATAGAGGGAAAAATTAAGGGTAAATTAAATATTACCGAATAATACACTGCACAAATATGATGTGCACTAGTTATAATATGCAATACAACATTAAGATTATTCTAAAAATGTATACTATTAGATACAAATATAAAAATTCTTATTTAGAATAATACTTCTTGATTTATTATCAAAGACTCTTAATGGGTTTTGGGTCTAACGCAACCTTATAACATTAACTCATAAGATGAGGTTTACATTCACTCATATACTTTATTTTAGTCAAATCACTTCTTTATACAAGATTTCTAGCACACTCCCTTACATAAAGGAGGATTGAACATATTGATTATGAGGCTAAATATTTATTGGATGTCCAATAGCAACCTGATAATGGGGTGATACAATAGACCCAACAATGGGAGTTTTGAATTCACTCAACCTTTCAAAACGAACATGTAAGGTAAGATTTATGTTCACTTGTATATTCTATTTTTAGCATATAATTAGTAAATGTGAGAGTTCTAACAAACTCTTGTGCCAAAGATTGAACACCTAATATCTTTTAGACCAAACTCACCTGGCTTGTAAGGTGAGGGTTGTCCTTCAATTGTGTATTGTATTTAATTACTATCTTTAGCTTATGTGTGACTTGGGTTTTTTCAATACACCCAACATTTCAACAATATTGGGTTTTGTGCATGAATAATATGGCGGGCAACCTTTTCTAGCGGATCAAGGATAAGTTATAATATCATTTTAGAATTTAGGTTTTAGCTTAAATTTCAGCAAACTAGCTCATATATTATACATTACCAATATCTATAGTTGATGGACTAAATCACCACCCTTAAGGTTGCAATTAAGACAGCCTCCAAAGAGACCTTAGTTTAGGTGAGCTAAGGATGATTGCAATTAAAATGACTTTCTAATACTCTCCCTCAGGCCTAGAACATCTAGCTTGGAACATGGAATATTTAAGTGAACTATTAATGAATTTAGGATAGGTTTTGATATGGATGACTTTCTATTGTCTACATATAGGAATAATGTTTGATCCCTATTTCTTTTTTTCTTGAGATGATGCATAAAGAGAACTTTTTTCATTTTTTGCTCATCAAGGGACAATATTTTTTTATAAAAGTGGTAGTGCTAATGCATCACAATGCTTATCACCATTTCAACTCTATTTCATCGCTTATCACCATTTCAACTCTATTTCATCGTGAATAGCAAGAATCATATGCAACACCTTGAATTCATAGAGGAAAGGAAAGGCAATTCATTGAGCAGAGGGATGACTTTTCTGTTACTTCTATGTTTTATATGTAATGTATCAATTTTGGTAGAATTGGGAATTTGGTCATTTAAAGTGTACAAAAGTTTGAATTTAGTTCAAAAATTTAAATAAATTAAAATAAAATCCTTGAAAGTAACTTCAATTTCTCATAATCATTTGTCATTTCAAGTAAGCCTGTACATGTTATTATTAAAATGCAATTCAATCCTCTATGTTATGATAAGTTACAATTTAGTCCATATATGTAAGGATTAAATTGCATTTTAATGATAATAAGTAAGGTCTTGTTTGTAACACAAATTGTGGTTTCACCAATGTTCCTCTAGTATATAATATAATAACTCCACAACTATCTCGGTTATATGAGTTGACTCACCATGAGTTTAGTTAAATTGACTCACTTTTTCTGGTGAGCCAAAAAATTTATCTCTACCCATTATGAATTGATAGGTTGACTCACTAAAACATGTGTCTTGTATGTAGTTTTTTTTTTTTTTTTTTTTTAATTATTTTAAATTACCAAAGTAGGTGGATTAAGTAGGTTGTTTATTGAAGCATCTTTCTTCACAAGCCCACACTCAGATACGACTATGATCATCAGTTAAATGATTAGAAATTCAAATAAAAATGAATCATAGATTAATCAGGAATTACTTAGTTTCATTGTGGAGACAGCAGAATGCTGATTCTTGGAAAATCTGCTCTAAAAATATCACGCAAAATACCTTGAGATAGGATGAAACTTTTTTTTTTCTTCGGAAAAGTTATTCTAGTCCTATTAAAAAATATATATTCTAGATGGAAAAATGAGATCTTGATAATATCCTGTTATAACAAAATAAAGGGAAGGTTGTCAATATTAATAGAGAATAAAGATTTATCCTTTTTAGTTATGTTAATCAATTCCTATCACATTCATCTCTATTATGGACAAAGAAGGTACAGTGCAATATCTTGTGACCTTGCGTTGTAAATCTAAGAGCAATTAACATCATCACTCTCACCTTACCTCTGGACTTTAAATGTTAAAACAAAGGTTCTATTTAAAAGTGGCCTTGTGTATTCTTATGATAAAAACTAGGATCACACAGCTTCTGTACCAATGTGCGTCATGTGTTTTTGAGACTAACAGTCATTTTTTTTTACGTCATCCTGATGTCAACTATTTGTGGTGTATACTGGTGTATGTAGTGAATGTTGGACTTGTCTATCAACATAGAAGCATTTTTTAATCTCATTGCAAATTTTGTTATATTCTGAATGAGTTCTCAGTTGAACCTTTTAAATATGGTATTTGGTAGATTACTCATGTTTTGAAATAGCGCTATAATGCCATAGAGGCTCCTTCCCTACTTTTGGGATTTCAATTTTCAAAATGAAATTTAGGTTGTGATTGTATTAATATTGGGGGTTATTTTTTACTGTTAATGTCCATTATTTAAGTAATTTTTATACATGACATAAACTAAATAAAAAATTTCAAAATAGAAGTTATCACCTTGCTATAGTGTTTTTTTGGGCTGGCTGCTCCTCCATCTGGGATTTAAAGATTCTGTTAGCACACATTATTTATAAATCGTATTTGATATTTTGTATTTTTACTTTTCATATACTATTGCAAATATAAATTGTTGAAGTAAATTAAAAAGTTTGTCATCCAAGCTAACAGCAATAGCTGTGTGTGATGTTGTACCTGATAGTAAAATTTAAATGTCTTTTGCAGCTCCGATATTGCTTGGAAAGATGCCAAATATGCTCAAATATGGGAATATCTGAAAGATGAATTTGAATTAACCCAGAGATTTACAAGTCTTGATTTCAAATTGAAATTTGTGGAGGTGAAACTTATGGAAAATAATTTCAAGAATTTTTTTTTTTCCTTTCTATTTATTGATTTGTATTTTAACGATTTTCCCTGTTAATTGCAGCATAACATCCGTTTTCTACAAGAAATTCATCAAAATAGGAAATCTGATTTCCATGAGTTGCTCATTATTACGTTGATTGGTGTTGAAATTCTTCTATCTCTCTTTAAAATTGTTTAACGGTATGTCATGAAACTATTGCAGCATTTTTGTTTTTTCTGTGGCGTGTAAGGTCAGCATGTCTTTGGGAGCTAACTAGAATACTGTACTAGTTGATGGCATTACATGCTTATACTATAATACATTCTATCTCTTGTAAATAACAATTTGAATGCACGAAATGTTTGGAATATCATATTGGTAATTCAGCTATGTGCATTTGGAATAGCATTTTTTAAACTCCTATTTAGGTATATATGAGAGTGGATCTTTTCTTTTAAAGTAAAGGGGATATTTTCTAATTGAGGAAACTTGATATATATGGTTAGGAACTGATTAGGGATGTGACATATAATATGTCAATTTATTCCCCACACTTAACTTTTTAGATTATTACTTATAATGTGTAAAAAATTAAATAACCTAACATAGATGCTAACATTTTCTATATTAAAAATATATTAGCTTTGATTTAGTGGACACAAACTTTCTTATATATTAACAAATATATGTTGTTTTCATTACAAGACTAGTATATCATACGTTGATTTTGTGGAGTTTGTAGAATTTCGGTAATATGATTTTATTTTATTTTATATCTGAATTAATATTTAATAACATTTTTTATTATAAAGTTGATAAGAAAATTAACTTTATATATTTTTAAATTTAAAAACTAATTATAAATTTTTAAAATGTAGGAATTAATATTATTTTGACAAAGTATAAGAAAAATATAGTTAATCCCTAATTATAATGTTATGACATATTTTTTAATTCAATTTAACAAGACCATTTGCTTCATATTATAATTTTGCATTTCCAGAAATATTATATCCAAGAATATACCTATAATCACCTTTCATATTATATTTAATTATTCTATTATTCTTCTTAAAAAAAAATAAAGTATGATATTTGTTATATAATAATAATAATAATAATAATAATAATAATAATAATGTACTAATATATTTAAAATTATTTTATTTTTGGATTAATATTTTGATGTTAAGTATTATTTATTTTAAAATTCTAGTATATAAATATTATAAGTATATTATTAGAGTTCACACATAATTATAATTATGATAATATCATTCTTAATGAAATATTCACATTATCGAATTAGAATTTTAGTCTAATTTTGTAGATACTTAGTCTATTCTAATTTTATAGATACTATTTAGGAGTTTTTTAAATAATTCATTAAAACGGATTTTAAGAATAAAATTAGTATATACTCAAATTAAAAAAAAAATACTTCAAACATAAATAAATATTAATCTTAATATTACCATTACAATATCATCTCCTCATCTCAATTATTTCTAAACATTCATTTGTGCTCAATTATTTCTAAACATTCATTTCTCTTACCACAAAGTAAAAATTTTAAATAATTATCGAATATTTAATTTTTCACACATAATAATTAAATATAATTATAAACAAATTAAAATAATAACTTACAATTTCATTCAAGCAGCTCCACATAAATTTAATCAATATTTAACTAATAAATACATCAAAATGTAATATAATTTTAAATTTAAAATATTTTTCTAAATCATTTGGACATTATTCCATCGAAATTTTTCTTCTTCAAAGCTTATTATTAGTTAATACAAAGTAGTAGTAGATATTAGCGAAAAATGTTAATTCAACCAATAAATTAATACTACACAAAATTAATAAGAACGGATATAACACGTGGCATTATCTATGTTCTAACAACCCTTAAAATTTTATTTTTTGTCCATCTATCAATTTCACTCAACCCCAATTTATTATCAACTATCCTTACAAAAAAAATGTTAAAATATTTTCGTAAATTATTTTATTTTTCCTAAATTTTTATTCTAAATTAATATGTGCATATATAATATATCATCTCAGTAACCCAGTAACAGTAATCTCATTCACAGTTACCATGCATATAACACCAAAACTGGTTAAAATCATAAGTAAACAAAATCAATAAAGCAAGCTACATTAATTGTTGAAATCAAGGACATCCAAACATCAAATTCAATGAATTAAAAGTTCAGAAAAACTATTGATATGCTCAACACAAGCCCCTATCAGTCTAATATTGAAAAACTAAAAGCACTATATATGTCAAGATTGAGGACAAAACCTTCACATCTTCTCATAATTGAAGCACTTGAAGACATTGATCAGGATATTGATGATGAGTAAGATGGTCTTGCAGAAGATGGTGAAGGTGCTCGAGAAGTCACTGGGGATTTTGCCTTTGGTGATTTGTTACCTTTGCGAAGATATTTTCTAGCCCAAGCATGTTTTCCATTGATGCAGAGTTTCACTTTATTTGTGCTCTCAAGCAGATAATCAACCATATGCACTGCCCTAGCACGAATCACCACACGAGCATACAATGGTTGCTCTGGAGGAACCACGTCTTGCATGTACAATGCTTCAATGATATCACCATACCTTCTGTTTCATACAATACAAATGAAGTTAAAGAAAAACCAGAGACAGGAACTTCAACTTGTCTGCAGAATTTTGGAATGAAATATAATCAAATAAATATTGCTTACAAAATTATCACAACATAGTTTTTAACTCAAGAAATTCTTGGGGAGGTATCTTTACGAGGGAGGCTTTATAAGGTAGGAGGTTCTCCAACCTCTTGAGCTAGCTTTTGAGGGATGGTTCCCCTCTTAGTCTTATGGTTGTTTCAATGGTGCTTTCATTGAGAGTCAGCCAACTCGAGAAGGGCTACCACGGAGGGTTCTGACCACTGGAGGGTTCTGACCGGTAAGAAGACCAAGTAAAGTGCTAGTGAGTGAAGTGCCGGTGAGTGAAGTGTCGTGGAGTACAGCCATCGAAGACGCTGGCTTTCGAACGGGATGGTATTGTAACAAGTCCCACATTGGGGAGGTCTCCTTACCAGGAAGGCCTTCTCCAACCTCTTGAGCTAGCTTTTGAGGGATGGTTGCCCTCTTAGCCTTATGGTTGTTACATAATAACATAAATATGATTAGTGGAACCAAACATATTACCGAAAGCAAACAAAGGTTTGCACTGGTAGATTAGATTTGTGTTATATTTACGTTAGCAGAAATTTATTGGGTAATATTGTTTGGCAATTTAATGTCATATTTCACCTAAGAAGTCAAAGTTTATTGCATATAATAGTTGTTGAGTATGACAAACATTATTTCTTGTACTTTGAAAATATGAGTTACACTATATATTTTATTCAAAAGGGCTAACTTTATGTTCATTAAAGATGAGATAACCAAGATTCATGGTAAAATAAGAACAAATTTCACATGAAGATGTGAATCTTTTAAAAAAAAATATCACTCGATGAGGTATTTCAAACTTTTAGATTTAATTCAAATAACCCCCAATAATAAGTTGTTGCGGAAAAAAATGAGCATATTTGGCCACAACGAGACTTGAAATAAAAATTACGAAAATCATCAAAATTTAAATAAAATGATATCAAAATCAATTTTATAATGAATGTGAAAATTATCACCCTATATCAAATTAATATTGTACGACTCTTTTGTGTTGTGTTATGTTTTTCTAGCATTTTGCAAACCACATGTATACTAAACCAGACATAAACTTTTTCTTTAAAGAATAACATGTTAGCATTTAATTAAACAATAAGAAGCTAAATAAATAAAAAAACTGTAAACAAAAAAAAAAAAATCTGTATTTAAAGGATCATGGTACGGAATTAGAGTATATTTGAATAACTTTTTTGTCTCGAATAAAAAAATATTCTTTATAATTTATATAAGTGAAAATGTGTAAACTAATACGAGAGACTTTATAGTCCATGTTTTTATTTAGGGTCTCTTTCCACAATTTTCACTAAAAATATAGATGAAAGAAAAATAAAATAAATTTCCCTAAAAAATTATATTAATTTATATATAAATTAAAAATCATTTTTTAAAATAAATTAATACTAGAAAATTTCATAAATTAAAATGTGCATAAACTAGGTTTAAGAAAAAAAAAGTTATTTTTTTTTCCAAACCCTTAATAAAATCACATGAATCTTTTTCTGCTAATTAAACCAATCAATACAGCAGGCAAAGATAAGACATGAGTTCATGAGTTCTATGTTTTTCAATTAATCTAACCAAACAGATATATTATTTTACAGTAAATTAAAAAAAGTTGTACCTTGAGAAGAAACCTAGAAGTTCAGCCTCTGAAATAGGGTAGCCCTTAGAGAATGTCATAAAGATGATCCTATCATCAATTGGCACCTCCATTTTCTCATCATTGAGTCCAGTAGTAATACTAGTTTGATTCGTAGTTGCTATCAGCTCGTTGAAAATATGGTTAAACTCATTTTGGTTTGAAACATCATAAGTTTCTAGAGGAAGGTAGGCACTGCTATTGGTCTCCCAAGAAGTGGAACTTCCTTCACTCCATTGGGGTGGTGGTGGCGGTAATGCAGAAGCATGTTGGGATACAATAGTAATGGCAGGTACTGGGCTATGATGCACAACTTGTTTCACATAATGATTAGTTCCGAACATATTTTCAAATTGCAAGTTCTGTTCTCTCATATCCTTCATATACTGCACTTCTTTCACTATGTCTGCAAAAGCTCTTACACAAACATTGTTAAGTAACTTGGTGACTGATCCAATGATAACCACACGGTTATGATAAAAGTATTTGAAGGATATAGAGTCATGCAATATGCTTCTCATCAAAGGCAAGCTCTCATTGTTTACAGTGGAATCATCATAAGGGAATTGGGAACTCTCAATGCACTTCAAAACCAAGGTAGCCTCATCTGCAAGACTATTAATCATGGGATCAGACCATAGGAGCAAGTTCTTCACCAGAAACATATTCTTGGACTGTTTTTCAAGCCACAAGAAGAAGGCCATGACATGTGTGGATTGGCTAGTGTCACGACCTAGTACCACCACCAAACGGGTGAAGAGTTGACGATCAATGTTGTGGAAGTTAAAAAACTCTTCTCTGTTAACAGTGACATTTGTACCTAGGTCTGTGCATGGGAGAAAGGAAGCCATTGGTGAGTGATGATGAAGAAAACAAATTAAAACTAGCTAAGTTACAACATTGTGTGATGTTTAATTTAAACATATGAAGAGGTGTTTGTTCTTTTCATCTTTGGAAGGTAATTGATGAAAAATGCACCAAGTTCACTGTTTTGAAGTGTGTTTCCATGTATGAAGTAATTGACATGAATGCAAATTTGTATGTATGATAAGTTCACTGTATTAAGTCTGTATTACAAGAAAGATGAAAGAATATATATATATATATATATATATATATATATATATATATATATATATATATATATATCAAAAAGATAATTGAGTAATTTCTTGATTTACACCAAAATTAATGTTGCATATGTCTAGATGCACAATGAACCAACAAGGATGTCTGTAAAGGTATTACGATGTCTTTAATTTATTCCTAAAGTGCATATAATAATTGATTATTTAGAAAAAATAATTACAAATTCAATTAATAATTTAGATCAATAAATTTAGCAAATGCATTAATATATTTATTTTGATGCAATTAATGTTTTTTTTATGTAATTACTATTTTATTTAAATAAATATAATATTATAATTAATTTTTTATATTATTGTCATTTTTATTTAATATTTTTTCCTTTTAAATATTTTCATGTATGTATTTGAAAAGTTTCATTTTATTTTCTTAAAATATGTGCCAAATAAGTAGTAGTAACATCATTCAAAATAATATAGTTATTTTAGATCAATGGTTTAAATGGTTTTCTTTTCTCTCCCACACACGATACCCAGGGGTTAATCTTTTTTTATAAGCAAATAACATCAATTAATTAAACTTAATATAAGGGGTATTCAGATCCCAAAAATATAGTACAATACAAAATAGAGAAAAATTATTAAAAAATATACTAAACAAAACATATCTAAGAATTATTGTGTCGATCTACAAGGTTACAAAACATTCTCATATCAGCCGAAGAGATCCACTTATAAGAATATAGATGAATAGAATCAAGCAATTTCAACTGATCCACAACGCCTTGTTTAAAGACCACATAGTTCCGATGCAACCAAATAGACCGGATAACTGCAACCCAAATAATAACAAAGTACTAAGATCGCTTTTTACTCTTCCATTGACTACACCAAACAAGAAAAAAGGACACCAAAGAAGAAGGCATAACAAAATTAACACCAAGCCAGCAAAAAATATCCATCTACGTACTATATGTCACCGGATAGAAAACAACAAGATGCATCGGATCTTCAACAAATAAGTCACACATAGGACATAAAACAGAATCCAACCGCACACCACGTTCCTGCAGAAGCAACCTACCCAGAGTCAATTAGTTGCCATTAGGGGTGTTATTGTTTGATATTGCTCGATTTAGTTCAATTTTTAATTAAATAATTATTTAAATATAATTTTATTTGATTTAATTTAAATTTAAGATAAGATTTAAATCAACCAAACCAATTTGCAGTTTAATTTTGATTGATTTTACGGGTTTTATTATTATAAAATTGTTAAACAATTTTAAAAATAATTATAAATATTTTCTTAAAAAATTACAATCCAAATTGATATTATATTTTTAATAAACATAAATTTATTATAAATAAAATAATAATTTTTTATCTGAACTTAAACATAACACTTTCACATTATTATTGCAATGCTCTGATAAACTAAACTTAATAAAATATGTTCACCACATTATACACTCATCAATTATACATTATTTATATACTTTAAAACATCTTTTAAAAATAAAATTATGATAAAATAGAATTTTAAAAAATAATAATATATCAAAGTAATAATGAATCTAACTATAATTATAAAGAACATAAGGCTATAATATTATTTATATTAAACAAAATATTAGTACCATTAAGGGATTGAGACTTCAATTCTCTTCTACTTCTTAATTTTTAACTAGGATTATATTATGGTATGAGAATAATTTATATATATATTTTTCTCTCTTAATTTATTAAAGTATTTTTTATTTCTATTAAGGTATTTTTTATTTCATTATTAATTTTAATCCAAAATCTAAATAAAATTAATTATTTTAGAAAAAAATGGATTAAAAAAATTCAATTAAAATTTGATTTTTATTAAAACGGTCAAAATCAGTGGTATCAACCAAGTATAAAAAATTTGATGATAACATTATCTAAATACTTAAATTAAAAATTATAAAAAAATAAAATTAAATTATATTAATAAAATTAACTTTTATTTAAGATATAATAATTTAATGTATATAAATTATAAGAAAATAAATTATTTAATCTAAAAATAAGAGTTCAAAACTTATTATTTATTATCATTATTATTTTTTTTAAGAGTTCAAAACTCATTATTTATTATTATTATTCATTCTTTTTAATAATTCATAAATCTAAAATAATTATTAGTCTTAATCATTAAATATTAAAATAAGTGATTGTTAGAGATTTAATTTAATATTTACTATTAGAACAAGTAAATTCTTTATCAAATAAATGGATAATATATATATATATATATATATATATATATATATATATTATGTTATAACTTAAATTGTTATAACTTAAATGGATCTAATTAAAATATATCTAATTTGATTTTAATTATAATTTTTTTTATTCTGATCAAATTTTTGAATTTTTTGGATTAACCCCTAATTTTTATCACTTTTGTTAAACAGAATAAAGTTCAAAATCTAAATAAAATTAGTGATTTTGAAAAAATAGATTAAAATATCTAATTTTCAATTTTTAATTTATTGGCCATTTGTTTTTATATTTTTTCATTCGATTATGATTTCGGTCAAAGAGTAACTGGCAAACATAGGATGACTAGAGGTTCATTTTTCATATTAGCAATCACTAATGTTTTAGTAATTACTCTAACAATTATAGGTTAGAGTTATTAATGATTAAAATTATTTACTTCAACAAATTAGAAATTTAGTGCACATAGAAATAAAAAGAAAAAAACAACTTTATGAATCACTAAGAAATCTAGATATTGTAAAGTGAGAATAAAGAATAGTGAAGAATGCAAAATGGGATTTTCTCCTCTGAATTTATAAATTAATCCAAAAATATATATTAAGAAATATTTACTTATTATTTCTCAAAATGATTATATATTTTCAGAAAATAATGTAAAGCCCCACACAAGGTACTAACTAGGTATCACATTGACTAAAATGAATTTGGAGATAAACTTAACTTATAAAGTATGATACATAATATTGACCAATTAATGGTACCAAAGATGTTACATTGACTAAAACTCAAAGATCCATATATAAAAGAAAAACAAAGTGCTAAGAATTTCATAGTCAACAGAAGTGACTGAAGGAGATCAATGGCAACAACATTCAAGTACCTTGTTTCCATCATCTTCCTCACCCTAGTCATCAAAGGTATATATATTCTGTTTGTTCAAAATTTCACCATTTTTCTTTCTCTTCCTAACAAAAGCTTGATGATATTTCAGGGTCTGGTTATTGTAACTTGAACAACATCAACATTGGGACAACAAAGAGTGGGAGAGATCTAAAGGGGATTACAGAGTGGAATGTAGTTGTGACAAACAACTGTTCTTGTGCACAAAGCCAGATTAGGTTAAAATGCCAAGGGTTTCAGACTGTAGAGAGTGTTGACCCCTCAATTCTTAAAATTGAAAGTGGTGGTATCTGCCTCCTCATCAATGGCAATCCCTTGAAGGGTTTCGCCTCTGTTCGTTTCTCCTATGCTTGGGATCCTCCTTTTGTCTTCTTGCCTTCTACCTCTAAGACAACTTGTTGATCACCATTTTTGCTCTTTAGGTCATAATGAAATCCATTCCTGCTATTTTCCTTTTTCTTTCATCAACTCTATGATCTTCTTTTTCTTTATAATATCTAAATGGAACACACTCCTTTTTATTTTAACATATACACCAATTTCTCTTACATTTTAATACAAAAATAATCACACCCTATTAGTTTTTAAAACACACTCGTTTTCTTTATGCTTTTAATAAAATAATTTTTTTTCAAATTTTTTTATAACGAGACACTGAATGGAAAAGGAAACTAATAATAGGAAAATGTTTATAATAACGTGTAAATAATAGTTATAATAAATGGTATTTAATTAAAAATCGATTCTGAGTACAAAGTATTTTTTCTGTTGTTTATAATCTCTTAATTAATTTTAAAAATGTGTGGTTATAATGTAAATAAACAACATGTTAAAGAGTTTTGGTTTGTTTGGTCCCATTATTATTTATATTTTTTTCTTTTTCTCTTTTTGTTATGGTATTTATTTAAAAATGAAGAAGAAAGACTAACCAGGACCTCCCTTTTCATTATATTGAAAATTCTCAATTGTGTAACTTTTTTGTGTCTTCCATCAATAGATTATTATATATTTTTAAATAAATTAATTTAGTTATTATTATTAAATAAAATAAAAATTAATCACTTACAATTCTTTTACAAAAAATCAAGTATAATTTCCCAAAATCAAATTTATATAATGTTTAAATTTATATTAAATTCAATTTATATACATCTGATTTCAACTATTAATACCACTTTGCCACAATTACTGCATCACGTGATCCTTGCCTACCAGTAAGATACAACATATTATACTGCTACTATAATTTGAATCTTCATATATACAATTCAAATTTTCATTTATTCGAATAAAGTTTTTAAAGTACAATGCAAATAAAATCTGCACAGCAACCATTAAAGCAGCATGCACGCCTCAGCCACCGCTAAACCGCTAAAACAAATCATGACCAAATTAAAAATCACATCCTGTATTCATGATAAAATTATATAGTCCTGAATTTAAAATTTAAGCTTTATAAAAAAGATTATTGAGAAATATAGCATAATAAGATCTTAAAATCAATACCTGATTGTTTTTAATATTAATATGACTTTAAATTATTTATACTAAAATTTAATTGTAAATAATAAATCATATAAAATTTATAATATCTATTGTTAAAAAGTAAATATTTATAAAAATACTTAAAAAAATATATGTCTAAATCCACTTAAAATAAAATAGGATTATACCTACAAACGTATATATCCTCTGCCAAGGACATCACTTACTACAAAGCAAGCATCACACACCGTCTAGAGTTTTCAGAATGCACATTTAAATGATGATTTTTACATATATTTAAGAACTAACGTAATAATAAATAATTATATTTAGAGATTTATTTGAATTTTTTTAGAGACTAATTTCACTGTGTCTATCACATGAACATATATAATATAGTAATAAATTTGATATTGTAAGACTCTATATATTCGAATTCTTCATCCCTGGTTATATCAAGTTAAAACGCTTTGTACAATTATGATTAGGGAAAAAATGTAAAAAATAAAAATAAAAATCCAGTGGTATATAACAGCTAGTGATACGTGTAGATCTGATATTACATTGATCCTATGATCAGGAACTGAAACACGTTCCCTCAGTATAATATCTATTACAATATAATAAATTTCGAAACATCAGTTCAAAGTTTATGATTATAAGTAAGTTGGTTAATTGTATCTGTGTTGAGTCACCGAAGTGAAACACAAATGGGTTCCTTAATAGCAGTGACCTTCACCTTCACCCTCTTGACATTGGCCATGGCCAAAACAGGTAAAATTGCCGTATACTGGGGCCAGGACAAAGGCGATGGTACCTTGTCTTCAACATGTGAATCTGGAAACTATGAGATTCTCCTCCTAGGCTTCCTCAACACCTTTGGTTGTGGCAGAACCCCATCTCTGGACTTGGATGCCCACTGTGGTGATCACACCAGTGTTCCATGCACCAGATTAGGCACCCAAATACAAAGCTGTCAGAAAAAAGGTGTCAGAGTGTTTCTTGCCCTCGGTGGCCCAAGTGGTTCCTACTCCCTTTGCTCATCAGGGGATGCAAAAGTGATCTCCAATTACCTCTATGGAAACTTCCTCAGTGGCCAATCTGGTCCACTAGGAAGTGTGACCTTAAATGGCATTCATTTCCACATTCAAACCAGTGGTTCATTCCTTCACTGGGAACACCTTGTCCAGGAATTATACATCATCAGAGAAAGAGGAAACACCAGCAACCACAATTTCTTTCACTTGTCTGCATCCCCACAGTGTTTTATTCCAGACCCTTACCTAGACAAAGCTATCAAAACTGGGAACTTCGACTACATTTTTGTTCATTTCTACAATAACCCTACATGTCAGTATTATTCTTCAGGCGATTCTTCGTGGCTTCTTGACTCTTGGAATGCTTGGAACTTCTATGTTTCAGCTGATACTTGGCTGTTCTTGGGACTAGCTGCAGCACCTGACGCAGCTCCAAATGGTGGTTATATACCACCCCAGATTCTTGTCAGAGATGTGCTTCCCTACATGCACCAAGCTTCCTCTTATGGAGGGGTTGTACTGTGGGACAGGTCCCGTGATGTTCAAACTCGTTACAGCAACCTCATCAAGCCTCAAGTTTTACATCTAACAAAGACGTTGTCTTCTGTTACAGCAACCTCACCAAGCCTATGTTCGTTGTAGGTCGGTCTCTACTCACTCTAACAACATGGATTTAGCTTAATTAGAATAAAAAGTTTCATTGCTATATATCAGGTTGTCTTTAATTCTTATTCACAAATTTTATATCTGAGTATTTTTAATATATAATTCGTTAATTTTCATAATATTCATTCAACTTTTCAAATATAAACTCTTAAATCATAACAATATAAAGTCACAATTTTGTAATATGCAATCAATTTATTTAAAATAATTTCATCTTACTTTTTAATGTATAGTTAAATGTTAATTCATTTGTTTAATTATATTATATTTTTATTTTCTATAACACTATTTTATATCATTTATTATCTAAAAATACATAAAAATGTAATTAATTGAGAACGTATATACTACAATTTATGTTGAAAGCTTATATATTTTAATAAGTGTCTTTTTATTTTAAGCAAAGAGATTAATTTAAAAAATAAAAATAAAAAAGTCGATATTTTTCTGGTAGACGATGCAACATCGTATTAAAGAAAATAAATCTTTAAGAATTTCAAATTAATTAACAACTCATTATTTCTCACAACTTAAGTGACCAAACATATCAAGTTTCCTAATTAAACGTTAATATATTAAATATTTGACATAAATTTGTGATTTATTATGGATCGAAATTTTTTATTTTAAAATAAATTGACATAAATTATTTGATTGTATAACAACAATGAGTATATTATAGTTTTGTATGAATATATAATTTTTTTAACATTGTACAATTATCATCCTCTTTTCTTATTGTTTCATTACAATTTGATTGGATTGAATAAATAAAAGTAGGTTTCTTTTAACAAAAAATATATTTTTTTCAAAATTAGTTGAAAAACTTGTAAAAATTTCCTCAATTAAATTATTATTATTATTATTATTATTATTATCAAATTAATAAAACCTAAGCAATAGTATCTCAGAATATGAAATCTAAAGTTAAAAATAAAAATAAAATATTTCATATAGGATATATAATAGATCAATTTCTAAAAATATTTGTTACTTTCTTCTAAATTTCTTTTCCTAAATTAAATACTCCTCTTTTATATTGTCTTAAAATGATAGCATTTATTTGATTATAAATGAAAAGAAAACTAAGAGTTCGGTATATACGCATAAATTAATAAAGAAAAAATAACGAGAAGCAAATGTAAGTGATGATGCAACTAAAGCAATTGAAGAAAGGCAACACCAAAAAGGTTGCTTTGTGGTTAAGTTTTGATTTTTCGATTTGTTTCCTTCCATAAGATTCAAACTTTATTAAAGTCAGTACCTAACAAATAATGAACTCCTCCATACATGTTATTCGTGGTTTCATAAATTAGCAGGCTTTATGAAAAATATAAAAACATAAAAGAAAGTAAGGAGAAAAAAATTAGATAATTATTTAATTTTTTTTATAAAAATTATATATATATATATATAAATAGTGAAAATAATAATAATATTTATAAAGTAACATCGATATTTTAAAAAATGAAATATAATATTAAAAAAAATGTTTTAGGATTCATGCATGAAAAAAAATAAAAATAAAATAAAGAGTACCTAATGACCTAATTTTAATAGACCCGTCATGTCATTTAATAGGAGAGATACTGAACTAGATATTCGAAAAATCACGGAACTTTCTTACGCCTTCTATTGTGTCAGTGAACAGAATTCTATATAATTTAAAATTTTGAACTTTTAAGTTTAAATAATTAAAATAAAAATATTATATATTTAAAATAAAAATTAAATAAATATTATTATTTAATAATTTAAAATAATAAGGTATCTTAATTATTAGATTATAAAATATAAAAAAAAGTTTTTTCTATATAAATAAATTTTTTTACGGAAATATACTAATGATATTTTTTATTCAAAGGACTTATTTCACCGCTTTGAAAGATTATTTGATTTTAATAGTTTTTTTTATTAATTTGTAAGATTACGTACGCCACGTGATGTAAAACATATTTTTAAAACTGTTGGTCTTTAATCATAATTCAGAAATTATTTTTTAATATTTTAACATTTTTTATGTTATATATATATATATATATATATATATATATATATATATATATATCACTCATCCGTTTAAAATATGGTACTTTTATATTATTAGAATATATAAATATATTTTAATTTTACTTATAAATATAAATAAATTAAATTTAAACTTTTCATATATAAATATGATAATTTTGTAATTTATCCCATAAAAATGTTAATTAATAATTAAAATTTTAAAAAAATTATATAATTAAATATATTTTTAAAAATATATAAATAATATAAAATAAATTATGCGCTTGTTAATCTATTTTTCAACAACATGAGTTATAATTCATAATTATTTGGGGTTAGTTTATTATTTGATTCTCTATGTAAACCTTTTCTAGAATTTGACTTTGAATATTTGAAGAGGATAGTATCATACCATAATTTTTTAGCTTTAGTTTTATTAGAAAATTTATTATCTTTGTTATGATTCCTCAACTTGTTTTCTAATTTATGTTTTCCATTCATTCATCATATGGTAAGTTATTTTATAGTTTAACAACTTCCCTTCGATGATTGTCTAGTTTTGTAGTTAAAGTCATTCCTTTATTTGGTATTAACCGTTGAATCGAACACTTAACGTCACGAGATTGAAGAATATTTTCAAATAAAACCTAAGAAGAATAGTAGAGTGCATAATATAAAAAATAATAATTTTTAAATTAAAATAAACTACTCTAATAGCTTTCAGCAATCAGGCCCAACCCATTTGGTTTGCTTTATGTCGTTGAAACGCAGGGAGCTATTTGGTATTTAATCACAAAACCAAAGCCATAAAGAGTCAAACACCAAAGACATGGCAAGAACAACAACAACAACCACCTTCAAGTACCTCACTTTCATCCTCTTCCTCACCCTTGTCATCCAAGGTATGCTCCATTACTTGTTCAAAATTTTCACTTTTTTCCATCAAACTTGTTTCCAATTTCACCATGGTTTTCCATTTTCTGCCTAATTGCTGCACAACTTTGCAGGTTCTTGTGACTGCTCCTTGAACAACATCAACATAGGCACCACAAGAAGTGGGAGAGAAGTACAGGGCCAACCAGAGTGGAACGTGACAGTGATCAACAATTGCTTTTGCCAACAGAGTCAGATAAAGTTATCATGCAAAGGGTTTCAGAGCTCAGAAAGTATTGACCCAGCAATTCTTTCCATGGAAGGTGATGGCTGCCTCCTTATCAGTGGAAATCCCATGAAGGGTTTCGACTCTGTTAACTTCTCCTATGCCTGGGATCCCCCCTTTCTCATGTTCCCTTCAAGCTCTGTCATAGGTCCTTGTTCATAAGGATTTGCTTTACCAAGAACTCATCATAAACATACTGCTATTTCTATTGAATTTCTCCCTCTAAATATTTGTAATTTTCTTAGTGTTCCATGTTATTTGTGATCAAAATGAAAATATTATTACCATAATATTAAAAAATTCGATATATTCATTTTAGTAAGGTTAATTTTGCAGATATAATCCAAAATTGATTAATAGAGTTTAAGTATATATATATATATATATATATATATATATATATATATATATATATATATATATACATACATATGAGATCAAACGAAGTCTTTGAACTTAATAGATTTTTTTATGGTTTTTTATAATTCCCAGGTCCTAATAAAACAGGAGTATGGAATATGACTTGATCTAGAATTTATGGCAATGAATTATTGTGGTGGGTAGGTTATAATCTAATATTGTTGTTATAATTATATATGTGTGTGGATATAGACCATTTAAAGGTCCTAATCTAGGAACATACAGACGGTCTTTAAAGTTGTCATTCACTAATTTGTTTACTCTTTTTTGGTTCCATTTTCATTTTGGCATTATTAATAAACAATGGGTATCTACGTTGCCACACTTAACAATCCATATCCCTTTCACAATTTCATCTCTATTATTGCAAATCAATAAATTTGTTTATAAAATTATTGGTATTCAGAATTACTAACACTAATGTTTTTGCAGTAACAATTTAAACTCCTTAATCTCTTTTTTAGTTTCTATTGTTTTATTAGTTTTTTAATGGTTTTTGTAAATTTTTTTATTTTGTTTCTTGTTATTTTGTTTTAACCTAGGTATTTTTTTTACTATGTGAATAAAGTTCTCGTCCTGTTATTTATTTTCAAAAGTTTTGTAAAAATAATATAAATATGTTTGAAAAATCTCACTTGTAATATTATAATATCTTTATCTTATACAAATATTGAGTTAATAATTTTATTATTTTTAAAATAATATATAAGTCAATTTTAAAAATATTTACACATTAAAAATAATCATCTCTCTAACTACCATCCTCGTTATTTCTCTAAGAAAAAAAATATATATATAACTAATTATTTAATTTAATCAAAAGTATTTAATTGAATACTAAGAAATGAAATAAAAGCGACTTATAAAAAAATTTAGGAATGAATTAGACTAAGTTTTCAAAAGCGCAACGCTGAGTGACTTATTTATACAGTAATGTTTCATATCATCATTTAATACAAGAAGAGTGAAAAATATCTCATGTAAATGCTGTAAGATTTCTCATTAGAGAGGTAACTTTTATATAATTTTTTAAAATTTTAAAAGTTGGGTAATAAGTGTTTTCAACGTTATGATTAGGATCACAATTAAACCTGTCCCCGCACCGAAGTTAACGGGGAAAAATCGAGTTGACCAGGTTTGGGTTCGGATTCGGGTTTTCTCCGCTTTAAGAAATCGGGTTCGGGAGCGGGGATGGGTAATGCAATCCCCACCTCGCCCCGTCCCCGTCCCCGTCCCGACTTTATATTTAAACCTAAATTCTAAAATATTAACTATTTGTCTGTTTGTCTTCTTTTCTTTTTTTTAATGTTAATTATATTTAAATTTAAATCCTGATATATAACTCTCTGTCTTTTCACATTACCCTTAGTCTTTTCACATTACCCTTAATTTTTTCACATTATTTATTACTCTTAGTCTTTTCACATTACCCTTTTTGTTTTCTTATAATACCCTTTATCTTCTCATTACGTAGTGTGTTCCTTTCCTTCACTTTACTTCCATTTATTCTGAATTTCTTTGCCTTTTTGAATCTCTTCACAACTAGTCTTAGTTCAACTCACATTTGGCTTCTCCTATCTCTTTAACTAGTTTGAGTTCTCTGATCAACTTCTCCAGTATTATCAACCAGTTTATCGAACGCATAAGGTAATATTTTGTTTATTTATCTTTTTCTAAATATGTACATCAATGTATCATTTTATTTCTAATTTGGTTTTATTAGGTTTTTGTTATATCATGTTTTCTCGGTTTACTATTCTTATTTATCATATATCATATCTTATGTTAATTAACTAATTATATTTTTTTAACCATAGAACGGGGACGGGGCAGGGCGGGGAAACCCGAAACCCAACGGGGACGGGGATGGGGACTTAAATTTTAACCCCGGCGGGGATCGGGGGCGGGGACGGGGACGATTAAAAATATCGGGGGCGGGGGTCGGGGAGGCAAAACCCGCCCCCGCTCCGCCCCGTTGCCATGCCTAGTTATGATCTTAAAAATTAAATAGTTTGCAGGAAAAATGTTAAAAAAATAATACATGTTTAAAAAAGAAGAAAAAAAAAGAGTAAAAGATGATTTCAACATTACCTAAAATAATGTTTCACAACAAAACAGAATAAGCTATACCAAACATTGATAATAAAATTCAACAAAATTTTCTGCTAGTAAGAAAAGGTTAGAAACTATTCAAACGTTTTGCTGAACATACTCTTTATATATTTATGGGATCTTTTATTTTGTGGGGCACCATCATGTAAAGTAAAATAAAAAATATAAATAATTTATATATAATATCACCATCATAATAATATTATATTAATGAGCTTAATTATGATTTTTGTCTTAAATTAAAAAATATAGTTAGTTCATTAGAATTGAAAATATAATTTTAATTTGGAAAATAATGAAAGTATTATCTATTATGTTTGAAAGTATTGAACCCCACACGCGCGCGCATATATATATATATATATATATATATATATATATATATATATTGAGTTACATTAATTATTGTTTTAAATATTACTACAATATAATTATTTTCACCATAATTTCTTCAAAACAAACTTTTATAGATTCAATTATGATTCAACTCTGTCAAAAAAAAGTGATGGGAATGAATAGTATTAAATAAAATATTGAAATTCTTTATTATTAAGTTATAATTACTATCTTTATAGTTAAAAATAGAAAAGAATGATAAATTTATTGAACTAAGAATTTATGAAATACAACCTTGTATATCTAAGATCTCTCAAAATTTCTAGACAAACCCTAACCAGAGATTTCCACCCTAAAAAATGCTAGAGTACAAACCATGACCCAACGACACCCTTTAGAAAGCAACAAATTTGATAAATTGTCTAATTGAATAAAAACCAGAACCTGGGCAGAACAATGTGCAGTGGTTGCATCAGCTTGAGAGTTATGTTCATGAAAAATGGTAGATGAACAAAAGGATAAAGTTCACACCATGCAAAGGCTTAATTAGCAGAAATGATGTGTGATGAAAAAGCATTCTTATTTTTTAATTTAAAGCTTTAATGAACAATCTTAAACTCTTTCGTTTAAGTCTGCATTTTATAAGCCATTCCCAGAAATTTGGTCGCAGTACTTTTCACAAGCTGGACCACAAACAGCAATGGTAGCACCATTCTCTTTCAAACACACAGGCATGCATTGTTTGGCACAATCAGACAGAGTTTCAGCCCTTTCAACACAGGCCAGAGTAGTCACCAAGCATATCAGCATGGCAGCTATTGCTTTCTTTGATACCATCATGGTTGTAAGTAATTTTTTCTTAAGCTTTTGAAGCAGCTAAATTCAATTATGAAGTTCAAGGATATATTTGCTTAATTTGCTTCATATATATATGCATGGAATCAAAGGTTGTGCTTGCAAGTAACCTTTTACGGCTCAGAATGATGCTGATCCTCTTGTTTGTAAATGGTGAAGAGAAAACTACGGCAATATTTTCAAATTTAAGGTTGACTATGAATGCATGAATGTCACCTAAATACGAATTTCATATTAAGCAGATTTGTTTTTTTTTTTTTTTTTTTTTCTGGCAGTTAATGCTTTATATATAGACTAGGAAAAAGAGATAGGCACACTAAATTTACATAAGAGAATTAAAAAAAAATTGAACATCCAAAAAAAAAGTCTCGTTATTATATTTTCATTATTTTTATGTATTCTCACATTTCTAGGAAAGAAATATAGATAAATATTAATTCAGATTTTTAAGGCATTTTTTTTGTTAACTAACTAATATATCTACTTTAACATTCAGGTCAAGCAAACACACTATCCAAACGACACACATTACATACATCATTCATAACTGATCGTACTAAATTTACTTCCCAATACCACATATAAGCCCGCCCAATGTTGAGGTTGGGTATTCCAAATTTGTTGGTCCACCAGCCCATGAAGTTGAATGACTATCAGGGCCTATGGGGCCTTTCATGATCTCTCTATTTCTTTTACATCTTCGTAAAAGGTTGTTTCAAATTACCTTTCTGGAAACATTTTGAAATCACCATTTTAGAAATATTTGAAAAAATGATTTTGGACTGCTTCTCAAAACTTCTGGAAAAATCAATCCGAAAAGTTTCAAAAAAAATTGATTCTAGTAAACACAAACCACAAGTTCCAAATTATTGACTTTAGAAATGAGTTCATAATGGTTGAATCTGGAATTCATTTTAAAAGAATAGAATCTATAAATTAAATTCATAATATTTTTAACAAAAATATAATTCAAAAATAAATTCCGATTAATATAAAATATAATTTTAGAAAATAAAATTCAAAAATTAGTCTTATATTAACTCAGGCAAAACTTATTTCCTGAGTTTTTTTATCATAATTATATTTTAAATATAATAATTCACTACAAGAAAATCATTAATTACTAGTAGATTTAAAATAGTGGTAGAATTTGGTCTTACCGACGAATATATATATCGGTAAATGAACAATTATTATCGACTGAATATATCCATAAGTAAACCAATGAACAATTAATTACCGACGGATATATCCGTCAAGTAAATTCATCATAGAATAAAAAATTAATAACCGATAGATATATCCGTTGGTAAATTCATCGGTAAAATGAACAATCAATTACCGATGGATATATCCGTCTGTAAATTAACAATACAATTAATTATCGATCGAATATATCCGTCTGTAAATTAATAATTAGTTACCAACGAACATTGCAGACTGGATTTAAAATATATTTTTAAAAATCAACATTAAATTAAAAAAATAAATATTTAAATTTATATAATAATTACTTAATTTTAAATATATTCTAATAAATTAATTATTCACCTAATTTAAAAATTAAATACTTTTTTAATTTAATAATTTAATTTAATCATAATTAGATTAATTTATAATAATTTGTTAACTTAAATAATTTTTTAAAATAATTTAAAAATAAATATTTAGGTATTTTTAATATTGAAAAAATTATTTTAATATAAGAATTTTAATTAAATAATAGCAGAAAAAAAGATAAAAAGAATAAATTCAAATAAAATTAAAATAAAATAAATATATAAAAATATATAAAAATATTTGTATTTATATATTTTATATTTATATATTTACACCGATATACATTTATTTGTATATAAATATAATTTATTTGTAAATTAATATCGGAAAATCTTAGTAGTCTATTGGTTGGAGTATCAAATCTTACAAGTGATAATTCTCGAATAATAATTTAAATTTCAAAAAATGTACGAGTGCTTTATCGATTGATTTTGTCCATCGAAAAATTCAATTTTTGTTGTAGTGATTTAAAATATTACAAATACAAATTAAATACGTCTTTATATAAGGTGCAAGAGTATATCCAATGACACACATCTATTTATGTTGTATGACCCCTCTTTGAATGACTTAAAATGATAAAGTAGATTTTACAATTTTCTTATACTTTTGGTATTCTTATGCTTTTGGTATCTCTCTTAATCAAATAATAATTTAAATTTTAAAAAATGTACGCTTTGTCGACGAATTTTATCCATCGAAAAATTCAATTTTGCTTCTAATGATTCAAAATATTACAAATACAAATCAAATACGTCTTTATATAAGGTGCATGAGTATATCCAATGACATAATTAATGTTGTATAGTCCCTCTTTAAATGACTTGAAATGATAAATTAGATTTTGCATTTTTCTTATGCATTTGGTATCTCTCTTAATTGAATAATAATTTAAATTTTAAAAAATGTACACTTTATTGATGGATTTTGTCCGTCGAAAAATTCAATTTTTCTTATAATGATTGAAAATATTACAAATACAAATCAAATACGTCTTTATATAAGGTGCAAGAGTATATCCAATGACACACAATGTTGTATGACCCCTCTTTGAATGACTTGAAATGATAAAGTAGTTTTTGCAATTTTTTTATACTTTTAGTATTCTTATGCTTTTGGTATCTCTCTTAATCAAATAATAATTTAAATTTTAAAAAATGTACGCTTTATCGACGAAATTTGTCCATCGAAAAATTCAATTTTTCTTTTAGTGATTCAAAATATTACAAATACGTCTTTATATAAGGTGCAAGAGTATATCCAATGTCATACATCTATTTATGTTGTATGACCCTTCTTTAAATGATTGAAATGATAAAGTAGATTTTGTATTTTTCTTATGCATTTGGTATCTCTCTTAATCGAATAATAATTTAAATTTTAAAAAATATAGACTTTATCGACGAATTTTGTCCTTCGAAAAATTCAATTTTTCTTATAATGATTGAAAATATTATAAATACAAATCTAATACGTCTTTATATAAGGTGCAAGAGTATATCCAATGACACATATATATCTATTTATGTTTTATACAAATCAAAAAATACTACCAATAGTTCGAATTCCGTCAATGTTCATGTACTGTAACATTATCTAATCTAGTCCACCTTCCATCCATGTGCTTAATGATAGTTTTTCTCTAACTTCATACTCTAAAATCTCAAAAGTCAAAACAGAATAAAATTAATTGTTTAAAAAGCATTTAACAAGACCATAGAAACTAAAAATAAAAGAAAAATGGAATAATCACAACAAGGGAATAGTGTCTCTAAATAATAATAAATTTAAAAGAGCCAATAATTTACAAGTTATGTTAATAGTTGATTTCAACATGTTAACAAAAAATACTACCTGAACCCACTACATGCTTCTTAACAATACTCAAATAGTCATCTACCACATGCTTAGGGACATTAAACAATACAATGGAACCATATTGAAAAACCACCATGTTATAGCCATTGCTTCCACTCAAGAAAAAAACCTGAACCCTAAAAAGGTAGTTTGCAGTTACTATCATTGATATTATGACTTCAAATGTTTATAAAATAGTTGAGAAGACACAAAATACACTTAATTGCCCAGACCATGAATGCTTTAAAAGTAACAATAGTGATTTGTAATTGGAAAAAGACTACATAAAAGCAAACATCAATTTGATTTTATACAATGTAAACATGTATTTTCAAATTATTACAAATACAAATCAAATACGTCTTATAGAAGTATATCAATGACACACATCTATTTATGTTGTATGGCTCCTCTTTGAATGACTTGAAATGATAAAGTAGATTTTGCATTTTTTCTTATGCTTTTGGTATCTCTTAATCGAATAATAATTTAAATTTTAAAAAATGTACGCTTTATCGACGGATTTTGCCCGTCGAAAAATTCAAGTTTTCTTGTAATAAATCAAAACATTACAAATCAAATATGTCTTTATATAAGGTGCAGGAGTATATCCAATGGCAAAATAATAATTTAAATTTCAAAAAATGTATGAGTGTTTTATCGATGGATTTTGTCCATCGAAAAATTCAATTTTTGTTGTAGTGATTTAAAATATTACAAATACAAATCAAATATGTTTTTATATAAGGTGCAGAAGTATATCCAATGGTATACAGCTATTTATGTTGTATGACCCCTTTGAATGACTTGAGATGATAAAATAAATTTTGTATTTTTCTTATGCTTTTGGTATCTCTCGAATAATAATATAAATTTTAAAAAATGTATGCTTTATCGACGAATTTTGTTCATCAGAAAATTCAATTTTTCTTGTAATGATTCAAAATATTACAAATACAAATCAAATACGTCTTTATATAAGGTGCAGGAGTATATATCCAATGACACACATCTATTTATGTTGTATAACCCCTCTTTGAATTACTTGAAATGATAAAGTAGATTTTAATTTTTTTTATGCTTTTGGTATCTCTTTTAATCGAATAATAATTTAAATTTTAAAAAATGTACATTTTATCGACGGATTTTGTTCGTCGGAAAATTCAATTTTTCTTGTAATGATTCAAAATATTACAAATACAAATCAAATACGTCTCTATATAAGGTGCATGAATATATCCAATGATACACATCTATTTATGTTATATGGCCCCTTTTTGAATGACTTGAAATGATAAAGTAGATTTTACATTTTTCTTATACTTTTAGTATCTAGACATAGGTTGCATGATACTACATTTTATTAAATTTAGTTTAATAATCATTCAACATATTTTAAGATTAAACTAAATTAAATATATAACGGATTTGTAGGAATAGATTTGACTAATAATATATCTTCAAGTACTTTTTTTTAAATATAATTTGTCACAATTTCAAATTTTTAATATTTAAATTATTATATAATATTTTAATTAAAAGAGATTATATCTTTGCATTAGTAATAA